TTTATATCTAGATGTCTTCCTACCACCACTTGACAGCCTCGAATGTATCACATCTCCCATGAATATTTCTTCTTTCTCCCAGGTTTCTATTCAACCAAATGCATTCACATTTTTTGAATTATTCAGGTCAGAAACACTGGATTCACCATTGACATCTCCCTCTCTCTCACACCCCACATGTCATCTGTCAACAAATCCTGGCAGTTCTTCCTTTGAAATATTTGCAGAATCCAAACACTTCTCACCCTTCTACCACCAACCACCCTGGATTAAGTCCTCTTCATCTGGATTAGTAGAACAACTGACCTCCACGTTTGCCCACAACTGTGAGTTCTCAACACAGCAGCCAAAGTAACTGTTTAAATTACAAGTTACTGCATGACTCCTCTGTTCAGAACGCCCAGTGGATCCTTGAAAGCCTTTTCATACATAAGGCCCATATGATCTAGTTGCCAGCCGTCTCTCTGACTTCATTTCTCACCATTCACCTACTTATTTGTCTGCTCTTACTTCAAATTTTTATAGTTACTCTTCCCTCCCTCTGAGGCACACTCCCCTGAAACCTTCCTGTGTCCCTCCCTCATCTCCTTTGTGTCTCTGTTCAACTGACACCTTATCAAAGAGCCTGTCCCTGACCGCACTACATAAAATATTGTCTCCTCCCCAGCCAGCATCTGTATATATATATATATATATATATACACACACACACACACACACACACACACACACACACAGATCTGTTTCATGTGTGTGTGTGTGTGTGTGTGTGTGTAAATAATGTATTTAAATACATTTGCATGAGTTGGCAAAACTATGTCCCCCAGGACCAAGTCCAGCCCTGGACTATTTTTGTATAGCCACAAGCTAGGAATGGTTTTTTATATCATTAAAGGGTTGTAAAAAGAAGTGAAAAAAAGATGAAACTCTTTTCTGTGTTTCTATGAAAACATACAGAAACTATGTGTGGCTTGCAAAGCCTAAAATATTTACTATCTGGTCCTTTTAAAAAAGATTGCCAGCCCCTCTGTTAGTGTGTTGTCTGTGTCCTCCCACTAGAACGTAAAGTCCTTGAGGAAAAGGATTGTTTTCTTCACTGTCATATCCACAGCACATAGAATTAGTGCTCGGCACAGAGTAGCTGCTAAACAAATATTTTTAAATGAATGAATGAAGAGAAATGAGGCTTAGTGAGGTCTGGTGACTTGCCTAACTTCACCAGGAAACTGGCAGATGAACCAGTTTTCAAACCCAGGTCAACCTGGTTCCACAGCTGAATCCTGCTTGCAACAATGATTTCAACCTCCTTGTTTTCTAGCCGAAGGTTCCCATTAGACTGTCTCTAACATTGCTACCAAGTAAAGGATCCTGTGAGAAAGGCCATGGAAGGAGAAAAAGACAATGTATTGTAGAAAACCTTTAATAATTATACCAGAATAACATTTACATCTGATATTAACCACATTCAATGTCCTTTCACACACAGCATCTCTTCTTAGTTTCACCAAGTTTCTGTATAAAGTAAGATGTACTATATTCTCATTGTACAAGTTACAAAGCTGAGTTTCAGGGAGGTTAAGGGAGTTGGCTCTCACAAGTAGTGAGTAGCAGAAATGGAATAATCTAGATCTATCACTTTTAATATAGAACTTTCCATTCTACCAACCAATATATGTCCCCACAACTCTTCTGACAGGCAAATGTGCTACTATAGATGTGGAAGGATTTTTAATAAAATAGAAGTCACAACTCAGTAATTTCTGAGAAACCAGAGATACTACATTTTATTTAGGATTCGACAAAACACCAAGAAAACCTCCTCAGCTGTTAATGGTCAACTACCAGCAGCTGGAGACAGCAGGACAGAAAGACCTTGGAAACGAACAATGCGCAGGAGAACAGTGAAGTCGACCATATTTTGGGATTTTATTGGTGTGACGGTAGCTGGGATTTGGAGCTGCCAGATCTACAACCATCTTAAAGAAGAAAGCCAAGAAAACTGACCATTATCGCAGCTCACACTAATGTCTACAGCTGCCATCTCCTGGACTAGCTGTCTAATAAGCCCTGCTCTGAGGCAGCTGACTTTAGGACTTAGAGTATTTGGCTGAGAAACCATGTATGCTTCATGGTGGCGGAAGGCCAGCCTTACTAACTGTGTGCATGCCAGCAGGTGTAGGTTATATGCAGGATAAAGGTCATGCTGCCACACTGTGGAGTTGACTTGAATCTGATGTGTGGCTGTCCACTGGTCAAGATACACCAGCTCAGAATGTTTGCAACAGTCCAACTTCAAATGTCTCTTTGTCCCTACAAGTCCGCTTATACCTTGTCAGGCCTTTGGTGCTCTTTTTATTTCCCTAGAAAATATGGTTTCTATACATCATAGCAACAGCTGAGGCCACTGTGCTAGATTTTGTCCATTTTTCATCTCTTCACTCATCACAGTAATAGGGCACAATTCTTAGGAAACTGAAATTACAATGAAGTGTCATTTCAATATTAGAATATGCAGGGTTTTTAAGTGTTAAATAGCTGTGATTATTAAATTCAGTTTAATAATTATAATGCTATAAAGGCTTGTTTTGTCAATGAGTTTCAGCCCCAGGCAAATTCAAGATGGATTCAATGTGACCAAAGAAATGACAGTAGAACATTCTTGGGGTGAAAGGGTTATACCCAACCTTATTTCCACGGTGGCAGGTCAGTCACTAGAATTGTGTCCACTTAGAGAGAGTCTGCATGCAGCAAGCTGGTCTCTGCCTCTGGTCCTCTCTACCCACACAGCCAACCCAGTCTCTATCCTCTGCACCACCACCACTCCAGCCTCTGCTCTGCTCTCCTGCAGCCTTACAGCCGTGCCACCATGTCACCCAGAGCACTGGGCAGGGCTCTCTATATAGAGTCAATAACGATGCATTGCCCACAAGTGTATAGTGAGCAAGCCAACCAGGTGTAAAGGGGTGGAGGACTGGGGTCCACCCCAAGAGAAAGAAAATTTGTTGCTGACTGAAATGGAACCCCACAGGAACCTTCGTTTTATCCACATTCCATCCCTCCCTCCAGGATTCTCACCTCTCAGTCTGTGTGCCCTCAATCCTCTGCAATGGTAACTGTGCCAGAAAGCTGGAACATTGTAACCAAATTACATAATCTACAACAATATACAAATAACAAAAATTACAACAAATTATAATAACCCTCAAGCCTGAGGAGATCCATTACCACCAAGTGGTCATCCTGGCTGTATTCAACCAGTTCTACTCAAAGGAGTTAACCAAAAAGACCATGGGTGGGTCTCACAATACCCACCTTCTCCAGCAAAATGTCTGGCAGACACATGGGCTGATCTTGTTGCTTTATCTCTGCCTTCTGCTTCAGTCTCAGCAGCCGGAATTGCTGCTCTGGTCTCAGTTGTTGCCATAGCCCCAGTCCAATTTCTCTCTGTCTCCTCCTGCCTTTTCAAACCAACCCACATCTGGGTCCTTGTGACCTTCACAGGGCCCTTTAAATTCTTCCTTAGAGAAGCAGACCATATTTCCTTTTGTGCTTGAGCCTGAGGACAGAAGCAGAGCATGGAGTGCTCCATGACCTGAGGAGGGGGCTGCACCTCTCCTGGAAGAACCCGTGGTTGCCGAGTCCTTCAGGCTCTCCACCTGCTTTCAACCAGGTGGGGTCTCAACCGAGGAGGGGCGGATGCCTCTGGCACCAACAGGGCTTCCACCCCCACCTGTTCATTAAACCTCTGCTCCTCCATTTCTGGAGCTGACGGCTCCACTACATCCTTCACCTGCCCCATGGCACCTGGCAGCCTGCACTCTTGTGCTGCTTCTTCTCATGCTACCACAACATCCTTTACTATTTCCACATCACTTCATAGTGATGCCATTTCAGTCAGCAACAAATTTTCTTTCTCTTGGGGTGGACCCCAGTCCTCCACCCCTTTACAGTACCACATGTCTACTGGGGGACACTCGAATGTCTCCCCATCCATAGGTGCAGCCTGCTGAAACACTCCTTCCATGAGGGACTTTTCCTTAGTCAACAATGAATCCTGCCAACTATGCCAATTGTCTTGCCAATGGGTTTCAGCTCCAAGCAAGTTCACTATGGATTCAATGTGACCAAAGAAATGACAGTAGAATATTCTTGGGGTGAAAGGGTTATACCCAACTTTATTTCCACAGTGGTAGGTCAATCACCAGAACTCCATCCACTCAGAGCAAGTCTACATGCAGCAAGCTGGTCTCTGCCTCTGGGCCTCTCCAACCTGCGCCATTTCATTCTCTGTCCTCAGCGCTGCCACCACTCCAGCCTCTGCTCTGCTCTCCTGCAGCGTTGCAGCCATGAGCACTGGGCAGGGCTCTCTATATAGAGTCAATAATGACACATTGCCCACACGTGTGCAGTAAGCTAGCCAACCAGGGCCAGGTGAGAATCCTGGCCACAGGAACCTGTATTTTTTATCCACAAGGTTTGATTGGCTAGAAAAAAATAATTGTAATGTTTTCTCTAAATAATTTATATGCAGACTTGGGTAAGAAAAATTATTGAACTACATAATATCTATAGATATACCATCTTTTCAGTTCAACTTTAAACTTGAGTCTTTTTATAAAAGGAAATTCTCTATTTTTTTTAAATAACATTAGTAATCACAGTGGAGAAAGTGAGGTGAGAGTCAAATAGTTTACCTAAGAGTTCACTTTGTCAAAAAATAAACACAAATTTTAAACTTGAATTGAAAAGTGTTATATCAAAGTCAGACATTAGGTACCTTCTATGTAAATTTTAAACTTGAATTGAAAAGTGTTATATCAAAGTCAGACATTAGGTACCTTCTATGTACTAAATATGAGGTTCCAGTGATGCTACATTCTTAGAAGTTATCTGTATGCTTCCATGCAATATTCCAAGGAAACTTTACCTATGGGAGATACATTTGAGTACTCACATTTGCACTGTCCTTGGCAGTAAAACATATATTTTTTTGCTGTCAGACTTGAGAAAGAGATCCAAGATCTTGAAAAGGCTGAGCTGCAAATCTCAACCAATGAAGAGGCAATTTTAAAGAAACTAAAATCAATTGAGAGAACAACAGAAGATATAATAAGGGTGAGCATTAACCAATTTTTTAGAGCTCTCAGCCCCTCCCAAAATCAGTCCCCAAATAGTATATAATTCTTCAAACTATATCCACACTTAGAATTTATTTTAAACTGTACTAATCATGGCAATTTTTTTTCTTATAGTCTGTGAAAGTGGAAAAGGAAGAAACATCAGGAGGTATGTTTTTGAGCAGTCTGTTGAATCTCTAAGATATGTCTTAATAAACTCACTGAATTTTTTCCCATCATTGTAAATATATTCTAAATGTATTTTGAATTACTATTAATTTTACAGAGTCAATTGAAGACATCTATGCTAATATCCCTGACCTTCCAAAATCCTATGTACCTTCCAGACTAAGGAAGGAAAGAAATGAAGGAATAGAAGATGATGAACAAAATAGAAAAGGTATATGAGAAATTTGCTTCCAAGGCAGGTTCTCAAATGCAGATTTTATAATGTCAAATATTAACAACTTGCTATGACAACCTATGCTTCAGGTTAAGCAATGGTCCATTTTACAAAGTCGTATGAGTTGTGCAAGCCACTTGCATAGGTAGGAATAATGGGGTTACAGTGTTTATTCTATGCATTTTATGCCCTAGTAAATCAGGTAGAAACAAAGAAGATAAAGGCCTGAAGAAGATAAAAAGCTCTTAAAAGTACAGCTCCCCTGATCAAAAATATCTCTCCCAAAACATTCCACCTAGAAGACACCCTCTTGGGTTACTAAAATCCCTTATAAAAATGAAAATACTACCCTTGGGAAGGTTAGGCATTATTTACACCCATATGGGAATGATTTTCATAAAACTAATACTCCAAAGCCTCTGGAAAAATGAAGACATGCATGGGGCAGAGAGGAAACCTTTTGATATTAGACTTAGAAAGAGAAGGTTCTCTCTATGTGCAGGTAGCAGTTGTTTGTTTAAATACTCCACAAATATTTAGTGAGCACATACTATATGCCATGCTCAGTTCTTGCACTAAGAATACAGTATTGAATAAAATAACAAAAATCTCTGTCCTCGTGGAGCTGACCTTCTAAGACAGAAAAAAAGACCAAAAAAAAAAAAAACAGGTAAATAGATAAAACATTTGATGTTAGGATGTGAAAATGCTAAAAAGAAGAAAAAAACAGGGAAAAGAAACAGGGAAGAGTGTGCCTAGGGGGGTTGCAGTTTTAGCCACATGGCCAGGGAAGGCAAAGGACCATCAGGCAACAGAGAGGGTATGAAATGCAAGCAGGGCTGAAAAAGGAGGGTGGGAGGCCACCACAAAGCAAGCACTGCCATATGGTAATTTTGCCCAGAATTCTGGTACCTCCACTACGCCAGTTAAAATTCCAGCCTTAAGGATCTTGCCTGGACCATGAAGCTGATCTCAGCTTTGCCCAAATCAACCAGCTCTCTCCAGCCCAGTTTCACTACAGCTGATATTGCTCAATGTTTAGCCCTTCTTCCACTTGAAAATTTAAGTAAAAATTAAAAGAAAAAAAGGCAAAAGGAGAAACATGTGATTTTAGCCTCCACCCTCCTTCTTCAATATCAGTTCTACATTTAAACAACCACCTGTTACAAAAACTTCAGAACATTCCTCTACAATTGCAACAGGTTGCTGGCCCTGTGTTGCAAGGTTGTAACTGAATAATATACACTGTGCCAGGTCTTCTACTACTGCCCAGTGTGACATGGTCTTCCTAACCAGAGAAGGTCTGATTCCTCCCCTGAGGAATGTAAAGGAGTGTAAATCTGTCTTGTTGGATTTCTTAATTAAAAAGGGAATATCTCTTGACTTCTCAGTGAAAATCTTTACTATTTGGAACCATCAGCTTCTCTTCTCCAATCAGCCTTTCTTCCATCCCATTTATCAGCCATTCCATACATCCTTACATAAAAATCCATATCATTATCATGTTGGTCATTATATAATTAATGAACAAAATTAGAAATTTCTTAAAAGGTAGACAATATGTCAGGTTTTAAAAAAAATTAAAGGGTATAGTTAGTATAAAAATAAACACTGGAAAACCAGCTAATTTACAACAGGAAAAGTTGTGTAAATCAAAGATCAAATTTGTCTCTCAACAGCTTTGTATGCCATGGAAATTAAAGTTGAAAAAGACTTGAAGACTGGAGAAAGTACTGTCCTGTCTTCAATACCTCTCCCATCAGACGATTTTAAAGGTACAGGAATAAAAGTTTATGATGATGGGCAAAAGTCGGTCTACGCAGTAAGCTCTAATCACAGCACAGCATACAATGGCACGGATGGCCTGGCACCTGTTGAGGTAGAAGAACTTTTAAGACAAGCTTCGGAGAGAAACTCTAAATCCCCAACAGAGTATCATGAGCCTGTATTTGCCAATCCATTTTGCAGGCCTACAACCCCACAGAGAGAGAAGGTAACCCCTGGACCAAACTTTCAAGAAAGGATAAAGATGAAGGCTAACGGACTGGGTAATGATATGAATGGATCCATACACTGCATGAACAATGGACTTCCAGAGCGGGGCAACAGCTTCAATCACATCAGTCCCGTTCGGCCAAAACCTCATCCCCAGTCAGTGATTCAACAAGCCGGGGAGACAGCCCACACCATGCAAAAGAGGCAGATGGCTCCTTGGGAAGAATCAGGTATGACGCAGGATCACTATGCACCCTTTCCAAAGGCAAGACTGAGTCCCAGTGAAGCACCGGCCAGGAAGTCGGAGCACCAGGGCTCTCCTGCTTGCCGGGAGGATGAGGAAGACGTTAGATACAACATTATGCATTCCCTGCCTTCTGACGTGGCCGATGCAGAGCCTGTGACAATGATTTTCATGGGCTATCAGCAGGCAGAAGACAATGAAGAAGAAAAAACACTTCTGACAGCGTATGACGGGATCATCCACGCGGAGCTGGTTGTGATCGACGAGGAGGGGGAGGAAGGAGACGGAACGGCGGAGAAACCATCCTACCACCCCGCGGCTCCCCACAGTCAGGTGTACCTGCCTGCCAAGCCCACGCTGCTTCCCAGGAAGAGACCAGAAGGGAATCCCCATGAAAATGCCAACCACAGATCGCCCCACAAAAACTCCATGTCCCTGAGGGAGCAAGAAGAACGCTTAGGCGGCCGTGCCCACCACTCTCCGTTTGATGTTCAGGTAGCTGGAGATGGGACTGAGGATCCATCCTTAACAGGTAATAAAAGTGGCAAGTCTTGCCGCTGCTGTCTAGTCACGTGACAGTCTTTGTGTTGTTAACAAGCCCTCTTGCTTTCAGCTTTCTTGACCACCTTACAGACTAATACATGCTAATATTTTTTTATTAATGCTGATCTGCATTCGTATCACCATAAGAAAAGTAAGTCACTTCAAAAGACAAAGAAAATGGAAAAAAAATTGTTGCCTTATTCGGATATTGCATTAATTGACCTAACTCTAAATTCATCTTCTGTCACGGTGTGTCACTCCCTGTGAAGGTATTGGGTCACTACTATGCTGGGCCATCTGTATCATATCTTTTCCCACCAGAATCTAATGCCAGCTACTTGTTTGTGCCTCTCTGCAATCCAAACATAAGTTAACAAATTGCCTTACTTTTGCATGAAAAAACAAGAAACAAATTTTATTTTTAGTGTAATATTTTATTGCTTTGCTGTATCTTGTTTCTCTATACTTTTATAGTTGTATTACCTTCATTTCATTAATTTTTCTACATTTTAAAATAGAATGTGAGTTTATCTTACATTATAATATTGGACATCCCATAGTCTTCTCTAGCTTAGCAAAATTTTTTTCTGTTACCTATGTATTCATACTTCTCATTCTCTATAAAATTTTATACCTACCTAGCTTTTCTAGGACAGAATGAAAAATAACACTTTTTCTACAAAAATGGTAGCTCATCCATTTTAAGTTCCTCACTGTAACTTAAATACTGTGTTCTACTTATCGCTTATAAAGAATAAACAAGAACCTGACAAAATCAATTATAATAGCTGTACTTACCTTGGTTAAAAAGATAATTTAAATTACCCAGATATATAGGTTCTGCATGTATGAATGGGACAGTAATTTTCAATGTCTTTAATGAAAGAATTCTCATTAAAAAGTAATAAATGTTGTGTCCCAACTAATGCAGTGAGCAGAACCTGATAATTCTACAGAAGTATGGGAGTCCCTGAACAATTCAAGGATGGTTCTTCCTCTACAACCCATACCCCAATCTTGGGTTGCCAGTAATATAAAATGAACCTCTTCCATTCTCCTTTTAAGTAGTAAAATCAGTCATACCAATTGAAATTTTAATTATCTGAAGAATTTCCAACCTCTTGGTAAGTGTACACTTACCTTGCTAATTCAGAATTCAGTGTAGTGTCTCCACAATGGAAACCCGCTAAAACTAAAAGTTCCTTTCTGTTTTGAGGATGAGTTTTGTTTGCTGATCACACCTTGTATCTTAAATTCATTTTTAAAACAACAACCCAGAAGACTTAGAAAAGAGGAACATGTTGTTTTATGGTCAAGAGCAGTAACATTAACTGCTGCAAAAACCTCCCATTTTTGAACTTGGATGTTAGCCAGCTCCTCCTGAACACCCTTATTCCTTCTCCTCTATCCAGGTCAACACATTTACCCCATAGAAAAAGACAGGAAGTGACTAATGTTTCCAGACAACACTAATCATGCCACTGAGCTAAAATAATGAAAACAGGAAGACATTTTCCAGACCAAGTAACAATACAAAGTTCTGTACTATCAATCAAAGCATCTTATAAACAGAATGCTCCAAATTCCTTGCCTTCCATCATGATATTGTTTTACATTCCTGTTTTCTAATTCAGCACATGAATTACAGAGTTGATATTTTTTTTAGTGGGTTCTAAAAATAAGTATATCATATTGACATATGCCTTAGGGGGCATCCATATACATAGTATATACAGTACCCTATGCATTCCAATTTCATGAGCACCAGGTAGGTTGGGCTTCTCCCTCTACCCACCCCCCCCAAATGCATATTGATACTTGAAAATCTACTGTTTTAATCAATTTCTTTATTTATGATATAGTCCCCTGCTAAATATTAATATTCCTGGTAAGCATATAATAGTTAAGAATTGTTAGTCTCTTTTCTCTTAGTGTAGTTGTAATCAAAACCTTATATAAGAGTAATTTTTAACTTGGAAAGGGCAATAATGTGGGAAGAAAATGGAGAAAGTGGAGGTGGAGCCAGAGATCCTAAAGATCAGATTTTTTTAGTCAAAACTTTAAACAGGATAAAACATGATAAGAAAATTTAGACAAAGTTATGTCTATCTGTAAATATAATAGAGTAATGTTCTAAGGTATAACTCAATGCCAGACACTTCCCCCAGTGAGCAGCCCCAGCAAGCTTCTGGTGGGACCCTACTACTATTCCCAACCAGGCAGGTGGCTTTTTTTCCAACCTATTCTTGTACTTCTAGTTCTATTCTCCCCTCTTGGAGATGCCAGTGACATTTCACAATGAAGGTGTGGCAAACCTCTGCTCTTAGAGATTCACATGTTCTCAGCGCCAATTGCCAACCTGTGGCAACCATTAAGAGCAAAGAAAGTAAGGAGAAAAGCTCTCTTCCACCTAATTCAACCACCGGTGTCTGAACTGATATGGAGAGAGGAGGTAGAGATCAGAAAGTCGCAGAAAGAAGTTAGCCACTACACCTACCAACCTTCCCCTTGCCAACATGCTCTGGCCCTACACATCTACTTGGAACTCACACCATCTACCTGTCCTAGGCCTAAAGAAAGAACTAGCAGACTAACAATCTAGAACATTTTTCCCCATTAGGAAATGAGACAGGAAACTGCGAATCACCCTACTCCTGAGGACGTGCACATCCAGGATGTCCTTGAATGTTTCAGACACAGTGCATGCTCCCAAGAAGGACTTTGTCTCTCCCTTAAAAAGAGACCTTTTAAAAAGTCCCTTAAAATGGACTTTGGCCCTGCTCTCTTTCTTAGTATGGGCAAAGTAGGGGTCCATAAAATCCAAGAGTAGAAACTATAAAGCCTTGCCTTCTGCCTTCAGTTCACCTCATGCTGTGAAAATCCAGTCCTCTCCTCAGGTTTCACTACCTAACATCTCCCAGTAATAGAAATCATCCTCTTGGCTACAGACAGAAAATTCTCTCAGTTGATCCTAAATTCAACTAAATATTCTTGACCCTCCCACTAGAAATCATCGTTCTCTGTAAAGTTCCAAGGGAAATAATGTCCTTTGATTTCATTTAAATGAAAATGTTCCACACAGGTAAAGTAACAATAAAAATGATCATGGTCTTGTTATAGTATTGGGTCCCATCCCTTCTCATATTTGTGAAAAAGAGCTTCTTAGACACAGGGTCATTTCAAATGTTAGGCAATTAACATATGGCTGAAAAATTTTTTTCATTGAACAAAATTTTGCAATCAGTTAAATAGCTGGATCTTGGGCTATATTACACATGATTGTAATGATCAGTGCCTTGAAAGCATCTCTCAACTTTTGGAACATGACTGAGATAGCTATACTCTGAAGTCCTCAATATTAAAGGCATGTTACCAGAACATCAGAGGAGTGTCATGAATTCTAAGCTACATTTTTAAAATGGTTTCTACATCTAGCCTATCATTAGTGGTGGAATATGCTCAAAAGATATATTTGCCATTTCAAGGTATATTTATAACATGTCTTGACAAAAACAGTTTATAATCAGTTCAGCTCTTAATTACTGGTTCGTATTGTTTCATTCAAAAAGAAATTTGTTTTTGTCATTCTATATTCAAGGATGGAGCCCCTTGGGACAACCAAGTTTTATGAGTTAAGAGATATCCCAACCATGAATTAGAGTTTGTGTCAATGCCTTTTTTTTTTTTAGAAATCCATAGCTCAGAAATATGCACAAAACACAGTCACTGACCTATAGGAATTTATCTATGGCTAATAGTGAAGTGGTGCACTAATCCTATACTTACCAGAAGATTCGTAACTTATGCTGTGTTTGCTCTACTAATTTTTCTAATCTTAATAGAAATAGGTTCCTTCTAGTTCTGAATCTGCTTCAGCCCTAAGTTAACCATAGCTTATTATTTCTACTGTCTTTTTGTGCTACTAAAACAATGCTCACATTGTTGGATAAAATCATCTGAGGTATGTTTCAAACTTTCCTGCATTCTATGAAATGGTCATTTAGACTGAAAATTAAGGCTGATTTTTTATAATTCTCTATTTCTTCTTTTCTTTAATTTGCAGCTTTAAGGATGAGAATGGCAAAGCTGGGGAAAAAAGTTATCTGAGAGGTGTATCATCTACATAAACATCCTTTGGAGAAGAAACTAAGAAATGTAAAAATTTCTTTTCTGGATATTTTGTTTCTTTTTCCTGAGATCCAAAAAAATATAATTGTACCCATATTAAGTCACGTGAATAAGCATCAGTCATTATTTACAAAAAAATTCCAAAGAAAGCTGGGGAGAACAAATGCTTAACTTTTCCAGTTACTTGACACAACTCAGTGGGGAGAAAACCAGCATATTTTTATTGTATTGATACCAAAGCATTTCTAATGAGACCTGGTTAAATTTAAGAATAAAGTTATTTAAAATAGCCTGACTATAGTCTATTAACTGACATTGTAGTTTTGCTAATACAAAGACTGAAAGATCACAGGAAGTCATTGCACCTCATCTTCAACTCTGACAAGTAAACATGCATCCCAGATTGACAAGGTTTTATGACAACTATGTCCTCTTGCTAAGGATCAACTCAGTTGATTGGTAGAGACTTCAAAATCCTTGTGTACACCCAAAAGGTGCATGCAGTAATTATCCTCCAAAAATTTTGGGACTGGATTTGGATCATCTTGATAGTATCCATGCCAGCTAACACATTCATTCTTGAAATATCATTCTTTTTTCATATCAATGTGAAGCCCATAGTGCAATGACTGATTATGAACTAAGGCTGTTGGATGGAGATATTCCCATATTCTCAAAGAACACACATCTGGTCAGTTTGACCAATCATTATAAATAGATTAGAATCGTAATACTAAAACAATTAGATTGTATACAGCATGTCATTCCTAAATATTCTTGCCAGAATGTTAAGTCCTGATTTGAAAGAGAATACTCCCATGCCAATTCTCTCTTTACATTATTGTACCGCCCTCCACCCAACACCCTCAAAATCCCACACGTCTGCCCCAGGATCATGCCAGTGCATATTACTAGGCCCTGCAAGTCTTTGGTGAATAGTCTGTTTCCCTCAGGGCAGAACCTGAATTTCCCTGGTGTGGCTCTGATGAGACTCTATCATAGTTACTGGTCTGGAGTCAATGAGAGAAAAAAGAAATATATCTTCAAGAGGACAAGCTTTAACCTGCAAAGCACCAACCTCAGATGAGTAGTTTGCAAGGGGCAGTTGTTCTCTAAGAAGGGAGAGCTCCTCTGCCAGCCTAGAATGTTCTGGGAAATATGGATGGTCAAATTTCAGGGGTGCTTTCGCACCAACACTCCCATCCCAGGTCCAAAGGGCTCATTCATTCCCTTTCATGGCTTTAACTTTAGCATAAGCAACTTATCAGACCTACATGTTCACAGCTCTGTCATTCTTGTGAATAAAGTATTGGTTTGCGCTTTTGTTTTTTTGTACACTAGTTTATTAGAACACTCCCTGGCACCTATAAGCGATTAATAAAGGAATAAATTAATGGGTCACAAGAGAGAAGATGTAAATAGTCTGCAAGGGGAGGCTTTGTGACACCAGCTGGCCTCAGGCAACCTGAGCCCGAATCTGGCTGGCAGATCATCTGGTCCCTTGCCAGAGGGTGTGGGCCATGGCAAGTGCGTAGAAGTAGCCCACCACGGCCAGGTGTGGGAAGTTAAAGCTGGTCTTGTCTTTTGCCTGGAGGTGAGGCTGGAGCTGCTGCGAAGCAGCTGCTTGGTGGGCAGAGGGGAGCCTGAGTGCAAAGCTGGAGCTGGCCAGCAAGGGTGAGACTACTGAGGTGAAACTGGACCATCCACACACCAATCCACTAGCCCCTGCACTCAATGAAAAGGAAAGCGAGCCAGAAAATGAAAATGAGGTGCCTCCTGGCCTCTAACGCCTCGCAGCATCCTTGAGCACCCTCTATTGGCAAAGACTCGCATTGCCTCAGCAGGCAAAGATGTTTACAGGGTCAGGACCACAGAACAGGGCAAAGAAGGGTGATTTGGAGATGAAGCATTAAATGATGAATATAAAGATAAAATATTAAACAGTCCACCCCTTTTTCTACTCAGCTTCCATATTTATCCTTGTACATACATTTGAATTCGAGCAACTAAAAACAACTCTATGTTTCCATCTAACAATATGCTGCTCTCCTATATACAAAGATATCATCCTCTCCCCAAAGTGAGACACATATTCCCAAGAGTCATTGTATCCACAGTCATTGATTACCACATACTACACATTATTTTTAATAGCTGTCTTAGATTAACAGAAAAATTGGGAATACAAAATTCCCATATGCCCTACACCCAGGTTTCTACCTGATTAACTTTACATTAATTGGTATGGGCCACTTGTTATAATTAATGCACTAATAATTATACATTATTGTCTCCTGGTTTATTCAGATTTCCTTAGTTTTCCTATTATTCTGTTCCTGTTCCAGGATCCCATACAAAAAACCACATTAACTGTCATGTCTCCTAAGGCTCCTCACAGATGTGACAGATTTTCCTTGTTTTTGATACTTTTGACAGTTTTGAAAATTATTAGTCAGGTATTTGCAGGACATCCCTCTATTGAAAATTGTCTGATGTTTCTCTCATGATTGGACTGAGGTCCTGAGTTTGGAGGAGGAAGACCACAGAGATAAAGAAAGCCACAAATGGTAAAGGTAAGTCATTTTTCATCATTCATATCAAAGGTACATATTTTCAACGTGATTTATCCTTATATTCTTCTGCACAGATTTGTCTATTGTCCCCAGGTATTTACTTATCAATCATTAATTTAAATCAGCATGGACTGATGGATGTTTACTTTTACACTTAAGTTACAATCCAACACAACTTGTTGCTTACATTGTGCCAGCTTTATCCATTGAGAGCTCTTTCACTTGGCCCCTGTGCACTATTGACATATACCCATTAATATTTTGAACATGAGATATATTTCCATTTCATTAGATCTTTAGTTTCTTTCAACAATGTATTGTTTTCATGTACCACTCTTGCATTTCCTTATATTCCTATTTTATTATTTTGTGGTGCTATTGTGAATGGAATTGTCCTTAATTTCACGTTCAGATTCTTCATTTCTAGTGTTTAGAAATGCAGTTGATTTTTTTGTATATTGGTTTTGTATGCTGAAACCTTGAACTCATTTATTACTTCCAACAGTTGTTGTGACTAGATTCATTATGATTTTCTAGATATAAGATTATGTCATTTGTGAAAACGATAGCTTGATTTCTTCCTTTACAGTCTGGATGCCTTTTAATTCTTTTTCTTGTCTAATTGCCCTTGCTAAGGCCTCCTATACAATTTGAGGCAAAGTGGTGAAAACAGACAGCCTGTCTTGTTCATGATCTTTAAGGGAAAGTATTCAGTTGCATGCCATCGAGTACGATGTTAGCTGCATGTTTTCCTAGATGCCTTGATCAGATTGAAGAGATACCTGTCTGCATACATTAGAAACCCCACAAAACAATGTTGACTTGTTTGTGTTTTAAACATGTTTATTATAAAGAACTTAAGTTGAAAAGTCCAAAAGGTTTATTTTTACCAATTACTTACCATATTGAGGGCTCTCCTTCCTTTCGGAGGATCCACGTTCCCATTTAGGAGCACTTCTCTTCCGCCTGAAGAACTTCCTTCTGCATCTCTGGTAGTGCATATGTGTCGACCACAAATTTTCTTAAATACCTTTTATCTAAAAATGTCTTCATTTTTGTCCCCATTCTTGACAGACATTTTTCCCACAGATAGAATTCCATTGACTTTTTTTCCCTGTCAGCACTTTAAAGATATTATCCTCCCTCTCCAGTCTCCATAAAGGCAGATGTTAACCAAATCATTATTCCCATGTATGGAGTACTTCTTTTCTCTTTCTCCTTTTAAGATTTAGTGTTTTTGTGTGTTTTGTTTTGTTGGTTTTTCACTTTCAAGAGTTTGACTATGGTTTGCATAAGCATAACTGTCTTCCATATTTCCCTGCTTGAGTTATTTTCCTGAATCATCAATCAATAAAGTTAAGCTTTTTGGCAAATTTGTGGCTTTTCCAGTCATTATTTCCTCAGACTCTTCTTTCTTCTAATACCAAAAGATGCTATCTATCATTTAACAGGTCCACAATACTCTGTTCAGTTCTTTTACAAAGTTTTCCCTTTCTTCTCTTCAGACATAAGGTAATTTCCACCAATCTATTTTCAAGATAACTTTTTCTTGTCACCTTCATTCTGATGTTCTTTCTCTCCAGTGAATTTTTCCAAATACTTTATTTCTCCAAATTTTTAAAAATGTTTTCAGCTCTCCAATTTCTATATGCTCCTTTTGTAATGTTTTTATCTTTATGCATCTTTATTTATAGCAAGCTTATTTTCTCATATCATCGAGAATAGTTATAATAAATGCTTTAAAATCCTTATCTCCTGAATCTAATCATCTAAGATATCTCAAAGGTTGGTCTCCTCTGACTGTTCTTTCTTTAGAGTGGGGTTGACAAACTGTAGCTTCCTAGCCAAATCCAGACCCCTGCTTGTTTTTGTGTGGCCCACAAGCCAAGAATGGTTCCTTGCATTTTTGAAAGGTCAGAAAAAAAAAATTCTACTATAGACCCTATGTGATCCACAATGCTTAAGATATTTCCTATCAGCCCTTTTATAATAAAAGTTAGCCAACCCATGCTTTGGAGAAAGAATCAGAGTTTCTTGGTTCTTACATCAGATAGGCTGGGACTGTGATCTGAATATCACAACATATTGTTATTAAAATACTAGATTCTCTTTTTTTTTTTTGCAATGAATGTTGCTTCTTTTGTTTTAGCAGGCTGTGAGCTAGGCTGGACTGTGAACTCTGATTCTCGTGTTACAGGTGCAGTCTCAGGCCAGTGTGTTTGCTCACTCTAACTGCTTTGTGTCTGCTGCATGGATGTGAACACACTCAGGGCTCAACCAGAGCTGTTGAGAAACTGGGCAAACAGGAACTGGGATCCCCTCTCTAGGGTTTTCCTTTCCAGGTTCACCTTCCCTCCCCCAGTCCCTGACAGTTACAGTTGGTCCAGCTATCAGCCCTGTGGTTTCCGACGGCCAAAACACGGCAGTTCCCCTGCCACCCAGCGCCACACACAAACACACGGCTGAGCCTTCACAGTGAAAACAAGGAACTCCAAACAACTTCCCTCCGGTGAATACTGACTCCTCACCAGAACCTTCCTACTTCTGTTCATTTGCTGGAGCCTTTAGGCAGCTGCTTTTTGAAGGTTACCCTAGTAACCTCCTGGAGGAGAATTGGCTTGGCAGGATCCTACTCAGCTAGTACTGATGGTGGAAGGCACATATTTGGAATGTTTGAGTTCAGAAAATTCTTATCCCAAGAGTTTGATTACCACATACCAGTGTCTGATTGGGAACCAAAAATTTTGTTTTGGTCCTTATAGAAAACCCACAGTACAATACAATTTCCTTTACATGTTCATATGAAGAAGATATTTTTAGAGATAATGCTCTAGGAGCTTTCCCTCCCCTGAAACAGAAGTATATGACCAGGCAAAATATAAAATTACATTAACTTCTTAACAACAAAACAATAAATTAAGCTGATACCAAGCTTAGGGTGGGCACAACCACCAGATCTTTCCACCCAAAGGTATAAGCCAAGAGCAGTAATAAGACAAATACTTGTTTTACTGAGGTGAAATTCATATAACATGAAACAACCATTTTTAAGTGGCCAGTTGAGGGGCATTTCTTATATTCACAATGTTGTACAACTATCACCTATATCTCCAAAATATTTTCCTCACAGCAAGATAAAATCTTATACCCTCTACTGCCCACTCCTTCCTCTCCCATTCCTAACTGCTGGCAACCACCACTCTGCTCTGTGGATTTATTTATTCTGGATATTTCATATAAATGGAAAATGTGACCTTTGTGTTTGGCTTTTTACACTTAGCATAATTTTTTGAAAGTTCATCCACATTATACCATGTATCAGTACTTCATTCCTTTATACGGTTGAATAATATTCCATTGTATGTATGTACCACGATCTGTTTATCCATTCATCTGTTAATGCACATGTGGGCTATTACCATTGTTCGGCTATTGTAAATGGTGCTGCAATGAGTATCAAAATTTTTAATTTTTTTTATTGTGGCAAAATACACGTAACACAAAATTTACCATTTTAACACTTTAAAGTATACAATTCAGTGCATTAAGTACATTCAGTGTTGTGCAAGTATCACTGCTATCCCTCTCCAGAAGTATTTCATTATCCCAAATAGAAGTACTGCGCCCATTAAAACATAACTTCCCATTCCTCCCAACCCCCAGTGCCTGGTAATCACCATTTTACTTTCTACCTCCATGAATTTAACTAGTCAAATACTTCAAATAAGTAAAAACCAGACAACAGATGTCCTTTCGTGTCTGGCTATTTCAGTTAGCATAATGTTTCTAAGGTGGACATCAAATTTTTTATAAAATAAAAAATACACATTTACATGTAAAAACTATGAAAGTTTAATCAAACAGCAATTGTAATCAAACACCATAATCAAACAGCAACCATATCATCAACAACATGCACAAAGCACATTTTGCTGACATCACTTTATTCATTCCTCACAACTGCCCCACAAGATGGACTTTACCAGTGAAGGAGTAAGGCTCACAGAAGGTAACTGGCTTGCCCAAGGACATGCAGCATATAAATCCAACATGCATAGTCAGGTCTTCCAACTCCATTCCCTGCACTCTGACATACACCACCACATTTATGAGGATGGGCAGGGTGGGGAGAGAGCAGAAGGGAGAGTCAGATAAGGCTCCAAGGACAAGAACCTAACAAACTAGCTTTTGGCAGGAACAAAGGCACAGAAAGGGCATTCTAGGCAGACAACAATCAGTTACCTGGGTGCAGAGATGAACTTGGTGTATACTAGGCAAGGAGAAAAGAAGCAAGATATGGGTAGGGACAGCATGTATCCTAACCAGTTTTACAAAGAACTTAGAACACTTTCTTTCATTTCCATCTATAATGAACTATCTTAAACAAGGACCTTTGTTCTTTTTCTTTGCCCTGTTTAACCAGAGTACACAGATAAAACGAATTCAACCAAAAGCTACATGTTCCCCTAGACCCTCCCAGCTGGCATCTGCTGCATCTGTCTTTCGCCACTGCATCCTGGATGGGAGCAGGATGTGGAAGGGACAACTATCACTTAAAAAACATTACAGCCAAAATCCTGATAAAATCAAGTAAGCACTAAAGTGAATTTGGTTCATTTATCTGATAATTTATGCCATAGGCTACCTGTGAATTTAAGATTAATTTCCATAGACCAGAAAATAATAAAAACAAAAATAGCTTCAGTTATTAATGCTACTTGAACAATAATTTTCTAGAATTGGTTCCATTTTTTCCAAAAAACATGCTTATTTTTATTTTATAGAGGAACCCATCTGCAAGAAGACAACTTACGATTTTTGCTCACTATTTAGGGCAACAATGCTGAAGACATAAAGGCATTTAGTTAACTATTACTTCTAACAAAAGAAACAAACAAACAAACAAAATCCCAGATTGTTTATTTAAAAAACAAGAAGAAAAATTGACAGGAGTGAAGAATAGGCATTTTCAATCTGTGGATATCAACCACTCTTAAGCAGAAGAATCGTAATTTGATATTAATGAAAAGTTTTGGTCTGCTAAGATTTGACAGACAAATGACAAAGACTTTTTAGACAACTCTGCATATCAGCTGATAATATTTCAAAACTGTAACAACAGATGAATTCTGGAAAAAGAAAAAGTTAAAATATCTTAGCCTAAGCACTGGAAATCCAGAAAGTTCATGTATTTGAAAACCAATCACACCAAGGCTCATCTCCTTAAAATAATCTTTCTTTGTCAAATATCAAATATAATTTATTAAGAGAAATTTACTAATCTTTAACCCCCTATAATTGAAAACTGGAGAAAAATATTTTAGTACACATTTAATAAAGACATTCAGAAAGAAAATTTAGATTATAAGTAGCCTGGCACTTTTAGAACTTGAACACAGAAAGTTCACATCTCAACCCTAAGCTACTTATTATAAATACCTACATAAGGAGAAGAAACAAAATTTTCATATCATTTTTCCCAATAAGATTAGATACACAGCCAAGACTATTATTTATACCAGACAGAAATTAGACCCTTGGATCCAGCAGAAACTATAACATAATCAGAAAGTACACCTAAAGAAATAAAATAAGCCTCCCTAAAATTTTTATTTTAAGAATGTCCTGTTTTGCTTTTTCCTTGCTTAAGATAGCTGTATTCATTTGTTACAGGGTCAAAGGTATGTAAAGGAAAATATTAAACAACTGTTACAAAGAATCATGGCTACAAAACATACAGAAATGAAACCAGAAAATAACATCAGTCCCTAATTTCAGTTTCTAACCCATAACCCTGACATCCAGCCCCCACCAAAAAAAAAAAGGCAGGAATTTTTCAAAAAAAGATTAAGAGTTGGTAGATCTTAAAGAAAATGTCACCCATGATATTATCTTAAGTACTAAAAATGAAATCACAGCACAAGGGAACAAGAACAAAGCAGTACTTTGATATTGTGGTGCCACCCATTGGCTAGAAGTCCTCATAGCAAATAGGAGACCCAACAGGAAAACAGAATTTACTGGAATAGGTAAGAAAATAACAATGATTATTCCAATTCATTACAGCATCAGGAACTTCTAAAAAAAGAGAACCACCCATAGTATTTATTACTACAAAGAAAGAGAATAACTTAAATATATTCATAAGGGTGAATTTTATTAATTTTGAAATGCAGGTCTGTAATTTTCAAAGGCTAGGACTTAAATCTGACAGTCAAAACAATTAACATATAAAATGCCATTGCAGCTCTGTAGCTGAATATATAAAGTCTTAAGCAGACATTGCACGCTTGCATTTCATTGTTAAAAAATTATAATATTCATAATATATTTAAATGTTAATGAAATGGAGTTGGCCTCACTTTCACCCTTACCTGAGAAGTAACAAAATATACAGAATACTCAAAAATGTAGCTTCTCAAAAGTCCTAAGAAAGACCATTAGATAAAAAAAAGTAGTAAAAAAGTAAAAAAGTAATTTTTCTTTAAAGTACCGTAGCACCTTTTACATTCCAAAATACATTTACTTATTACAATCTCCATTTTGTCCTATTGACATCTTGCTGTTTTTCCAAATAGTTCGTCATGAAATGCTAACATTCTTAAAATCTCAGTGTAAAAAATATTTGAGAGTCATTTCTCCACAAGTACAACCTTCCCTTGATACATAAGAGCTTGACATTAGTTCATAGTCTATAGGACCCTGTTGAATGTTGATCTCCAAAGAACCAGACTTCAGAATCCATCTACAGACATGGTCTGGTCATCCAAATTAGAATTCATGAATATACTCCAGGCAGTCAGTACAGGCTTTAAGTTGCTTTGGCTTGATGATAATTATCACCTATTTGCAAAGCCAAGGTCTTTGCTTGCTCATAGATGGTTGATTGCAGATAAGAATATAATGAGAAAAGTCACATTCCCACAGACATAAACTGCTAACACCACCTTTTTAAAAGCATGACCCTGAAAAAAGAAATTGAGATATGAAAGAAACTGCTATCATTAAATTTATGTCAATAAATAAGAAAAGGAGGACTTACTTGTGTTTCAGCTACAGTAAATGACTGAAGGATCTGAACTCTATCATCATCCAGTATCTCAACTGTCAAGAACAACAATGTAAGTTTGTAAGTCCAGTGAGTATACAGGTAACTGACTGAAAAAAAAAGCCCTGATTTGTAGCATTCTGATTTTCACTAGTACGTATTCTCCCATTTCAAGCAACCAAATGTTGTAAACTTCCTTAATATTTAAGACTCTCACAAATTTGGACAAGATAGCATGGCACACAATCATCAAGGGACTTAAAATATGTCTCTTCTCCTAGTCAATAGATACCATATCAAAGTCCTAACAAACCACGTTTTAAGTACATATGTTCTTCAAACAGCAAGCCATAAACCAGTGGTCCCCAAAAGCCCCATCTATGTGATCCTAACAAGAACAAAAAAATAAAAGGGTATTTATCACTCTATTAAAAGCTGCCCAAGCTCCTAGATTCACAGCATGTACACTAGACAACAAAGTGGTTTTGTTTTTAGAAGGCCACCTTTACTTATCATTTGGGGCATTGAAAACCAGATAAGGCACAAAGGACATGGCCCAGAATCCAAGCTAGTTGAAAATGTCACGCATCCTCTAGTAATCTCCCCCCCACCCCCCAATGGCTGTAGGTCTCTTGACCCTGTCTAAGGCTCTTTTGGCACTAAGATCAAAACAGACTTTGCCTCTGGAGAGCCCGAGCAAAGAAGTTCTTCCTATCTGGGCCAAGTTAGCTAGCTAGATATGATATATACAGCCACCTAAGTAATAGCACACAGAAAGTTTGTCCAATAGGTAAAATCGGTCTGCAGCTGTGCCCTGTGTTAGCTTGGAGCAGCTCCTCTTCTTCCACCTCAGAGTTCTCAGCTCCCTGCTTTCGCGTTTTCATCTAGCAGTGGCTCCAGGACAGACTAGCATGCAAAGTCAAAACAAAGACTTCTTCCCGCAAACCTAAAATCTTCCCCTTGTATTTTCTCACAGATTCTAATACTAATGAATATAAAAAACAAAGGCAGAAAAATTTCTACAAGTTCTACCGCTGACTGAGTCACCACAGAAAGTTTTAGTGAGCTACCATGTAATAGTCAACCATAGTACTGTTAGGAAACTAATTATATTCTTATAGTTTGTATAAAAGTAATTCTATGTAACATGGCATTTTGAGGAAATCACCTTTCCGAGAGAGTCGGTAAGTATGTATCTCCAGAAGAATCTCAGTCCCAACATGCCAAGCTACAAATCCAATCATTGCATAGGTTTTCCATGGGCCAGGAAGACACAGTCCTGGTAAATCCATTCCCAGGAACATTGCTGCCACTATATTTATAAGACAGAAATATATATTCAAATGTAGTTACTACCAAGAGAGGTAACTGTGAGTGTGTGTATGTGTGCATCACATCAAACATCCTAAAAGTTTATGAGATGAATTAGATTAATATTTAAGACCAAATAGTTAGTTTAGCTTTTTTAATTATAAGACTTGAAAAATGAAAATGAAAAAGTAACTATGATCTACCAATTGTTAAAAAAGAGGCACCCAAACTTTCCAAAAAGTTTCAAGTGTGCATCATAGGCAACCATTGCTGACTATACCTACCCTCCCATGAAGAACCCGCACAGACTACAAAACTGTGAGAGTAAGAGGTATTAGCTTAGGTATTTACTGTGTAGAGCCTTGAAATATATTAGACAGCCATACTTAACTTTTGAAAACCACCCTTTTCTGGAAGGTACCATCCCATGGAAAAGACCTAGAGACAGAGGACTGGGACACCCCACCTCCACCCCAGACCACCTCAGCCCAACTCGTGAATGACCCTCAACTTGAACTGCTTACGTATTTGGCCATTAGCATAACTTATTCTGCTGGCACAAGTGAATACTTGAAAAAAAAAGTCTTAACAGGGAGTTTTTTAAAGTCATTTTTAAAACCTTAAGCTTAAAACTAAAATAATGACTTAAATGGTTACCTCTAGAAATTACTTCCTGGATTTCAATGTTTAAGGCTGATTTCTCCTCAACAAGCAATTACTCCAATTACTAAAGCATCTAAAAATCATTTAAGCCAAATTACAACTTGCAGTATAAACAGCCAGCAATTATATATGAATAAGTGGCATCACAATTACTTACCTGCTATTATTCTAGCAGCTGTTCCCATACTCCAATGAGTCCAGTTAAACATTTGCCTTCTACCAAATAAAGAACCAGTCAGTGTTCTTAAAAGTGATGGAACTGCAATTAATTCCCCAAAGAATAAAGAGCATGCAATTTCCCTTATTGCCTAGGAATTGGATATCTGAAACACATTTTAAAACCTCTTAAAGTAAATATAATCTATCACTGAATTTTATGAAATGCAAAATGTTTCAACTTGAAAAGAACTTAGTTTGCCAACTAACAATATCCCACATTAAGAGCATTCTTATATAAAAGCTGTAAGTACCTTGGGTCATATACAGGTGGCCGGAAGGCTGCCAAAAGAGGCTGAAGAACTGCTAAAATCATCACAATACAACCAAGATACGGATGATAACCTGCATACTGAACAAAGTTGTATCATTTTAATGGTCTTGATCTCATCTATCAATTTAAATCCTCAAGTTATAAATAATACACACAGATAAAGTGTTTTTCTGTAGCTTTAAACATTTAATAATGATAACAATAGGCACCATTCACTGAGTATCTATTCTACACCAGGTGTATACTTTACATACATTATCACTGATGTTCACCATGAGGCTTGATACTTATCAATATCCCACTTTTAAAAGGGGGGAACTAAGCTCAAAGATACGAAGTAATATGTCCAAGGCCACACAGGGTGTAAATGCTTGTGGCGGAATCCATGCACAGAACACTGCCTCTCTTCCCCGTCGGGATGTTAGATGATCTCCAACACCAGTATAGCCATTTGCAGCTCACCTAGGACTAGTTAGTATCCATGTGTTAAGAGCAATCATCCCAATGTATTGTAACTATTTGTTCAGACATCTCTGTTCCCTGTGATGAAGGTTCTGTTTGATTCCTTGTAACTCCAGTGCTTAAGCACCTTAGTCACTCAGCAAGTGTTTGTTGATTAAATGAATAACCTGTATAGTCACTATATTAAAATCTTATCTCCTCTGTTCAGAATGAAGTTCTAACCCAAGAAAAAACATCAAGTATCTCAACACTTTAACCACATGCCTCTCAGTGACATTGCATGCCTGCTCAGAACAGCAAACAGTTGGGTTAGACTACTTTGCACAGTCATTTCACCTAAAACCTAAAGACGAGAACTAAGATAATGCTCTAACTTGTGACCTGTTTGGATGGAGGGATATGACCATCTGTTGTCACTGACTTCCATGCTCAGGCAGGCTCTAAAATCTGTGATCTAGAACAAGGATATAGCGGTTTCTAAGCCATGCTAGGAAGCTTTTGTAAATAGGAACTAAAGATGACAAAAGAACACTTTCAAACCATGGACTTGGTCACACACAGATAAAATTATACCCAGTACCATGGAGATGGAAAGCAACTCTGTCCAATAAAGAACAGTAACAGCAGCAAGAAAATCCTTGTATGTGCTTCGAGTGTGCTGGGGACTGTCCAGTGTGTTTGCAGGCCACTGACTCTCAGTTCCCAGGAAGCCTGTGCAGTAGATACTATCCTGTCCCCATTTTATAGATGAGTAAATGGGAAGACAGAGAAGTTAAGTAACTTGCCCAAGGGGTCCCAGGTAATAAGTGAGGACATCTAGATTTGAATCTCAGTACTCTGGCTGTAAAACTGTACTCTTAACCTCTAAACTATCCTATCCATAAACTGCAAAGACTACAAATTACAGCTCACAAAATAAGTGTTTTGTACACTTGTCCCAAATGCCTGGATAAAACAAGGTTCTGATGTCTTGATTTTTATGAGAAAATCTTCATAACTGCCTTTAAAAACAATAGGTGACCAATTTACAAACTATCTAAAAAGCAGGAGAAACATTTCCTAGTAATATATGTGACCCAAGATCCATCAATATAACTCCTTGTAGCAATAACCCTAATTAAAATATTAAATTTTGACTGGATATAAAACTGGAAAAGTAAAATGGAAAGACAGGCTCTGACCTTAGGTACATCACTTATTCTCAGTAAGCCTTATTCACTCATTCAATAAATATTTCTTGAGTTGCTGTTATGTGCCAGAATCCATTCTAGGTGCGTAAGATACACCAGTGAACACAGCAGTAAATATCCTGACCTTCACAGAGCTTACATGCTAGTGTGGAAGGCAAAAGACTAAAGAAAAAATGTAATAAGTAAGTAAACTATATGCAATACCATACGGTAAAGAGTGCAATGGGAAACAACAGAGCAGGGAAGGGCTCTCTGGGAAGCTACTAACTGAGCAGGACTTAAAGAAGTGAGGGACTGGAGGAAGCAGGACCAAGGCAAAAGGAAGTATCTTTGCAAAGACTACAATGCAGGAGCGTGCCGGGTGGCAGGCCAGCGTGAATGCGAAGAGTTAGGGGATAAGGAGAGGTTGCGATCAGTTCTAAGTACCTGGAAGCCTAATCACAGAGGTCTTTGGAAAGATTTTGGCCTTAACTTTGAACAAAATTGAGAGGCAGGGAAACTGATCTGGAGCATAGGAATGACATGATCTGACTTACATTTTTTAAAAAAATCACTCTGCCTTCTTGGTTGAAAATATACTGTGCATCAACCAGGGCTGAAGTGGAGAGACCAATCAGGTGCCTACTCCAACAGTCCAGGCAAAAGATGATGCTGGCTCAAACAAAAATAGTAGTGTCAGTGATGGTGAGACGTGTTGTATTTTATTGTAGAGCTAGTATTTGGCCTAAGAAGGGAACCACCAACAGCTAACATGGGGATGCAGCAGGTAGACCAAGACTGGTAAGAAATATCAGGCATTCCATTTTGGACGTGGTAAGCTGAAGATGTCTTAGACATGCAAGTTGAAGACCTAAGTAGACAGTTGTACATGTGAGTCTCAAGAAGGGAATGGTCTAAGCTAAAGAGGTGTAAGCTTGATAAGCATTTGAGAATAAGCCTCAGTTTCTTCATTTGTGTATGAGATTATTATCAATAACTACTTCATTTGAGGTTTAAATTTGATAACACACATAAAACACTCTGCACAGCTGGTCCCATAGGTGGAATGCAAGTCCTGTTAGCTTAGTGGTAATCAGAGCATTAGAGAAAACCACTCGCAGTGCTCACATTCCTTCAGTTCCACACTTTGACTTTTCACCAGTCTACAGTGCAAACACTCTGAAAGCTATATATTGTGTACATAACATTTGATGCAGCCTAAAAATATACTTCATTACCAAGTAATCTGCACTGACATCCTCACTCTATCCCTGCCCTCCAACTGTGTGAAATAGTCATCAGATGATTTAAAAAGGAATGAAAGAGATACATACATGCAGAAACATCTTCTCATCTACCATTTGGGAATAACATAGCAATCTCCTTCGAGATTAAAATGAATTTCTTTAAAAGCATCTTACTTAAGATATACTTACCCAACTCCAGCCACCCCTATAAATAAATGGCAGAGCAAAAGCAATGCAGGTGAGGGCAGTAGTAGTGAACATGAGCATCCGATGGATCTGCAAGGATGAAACATCAAAGTGAGATGAGCATTAACTACATAGGAAAAAGGAGCTGGTGTTACTGCGGTGAAAAAGTCATGGGGGGAGATTCACTGAAGGCACACCCATTCCTCTGAGATCCATCACAGTTTGTGGTCAGTTAAAAAAATATTTTAATGTACGACTGAATTTTAAAGAAAACCCTAAGCTGCCATCCTCATCAATCAAAAGCATTTGTAACAACTTCACCTGCAGAGATAGCAGGCATGGACATTCCACACACAGAACACACTTGCCAAGTCCTTCATTTCCCTCCAAATGAAGTTCCTTTTTTTATGAAGTTCCCCCACCAAGCGCAGTGCTACCCCAGATACAATGAGATAGCAAGGAAACAGAAAGTACTATCTCCCAAGAAGCTTGGGATAAAATCAAGTAGCTGAGAGAAACATATATGCAATGTGCAATTCATCGTCCAAATGAGAAGAATATTGAGTGAAAATGGGCAGTTAATTGATTTTGCCAGGATACTGACGCAAACCAAAACTATCCTAGGGAAAGTAGGGCATATCACCACCTTGTATATACTGTATGTCACACTATATTTAGAGAGAGATACAGTTTTAAAGGCAGTAGAGGATTTGGACTGGTGAAGAGGAGACACAGAGTTCTCCAATTGGCAATATCCACATGATGAGATGAATATCACCACCTTGTATATACTGTATGTCACACTATATTTAGAGAGAGATACAGTTTTAAAGGCAGTAGAGGATTTGGACTGGTGAAGAGGAGACACAGAGTTCTCCAATTGGCAATATCCACATGATGAGATGAGAGACAGAGAGAGAGAGAGAGAGAGAGAGAGAGAGAGAGAGAGCAATCAAAGGCAAAAACAGACAGGAGCTAGGCATGTAGCAGTAGTGAGAATGGATAAAACAGATTGCCCCTGCCAGCCAATAGTGAGAAATGAGGTTAGATAAGGTAAATCTTAAAGGTTACAAATTTATATGAATATGAAGCTTAAGAACCCCCTTATGAAGTCAAAACTGTTCCAACAAGCAGTATTTTTTCTACAGACATGTGCATTCTATCTCAACACATACTCATTGATCTTCGCTATATGTGCAAATATCTATACTGCATAACACATGAAAGATAAGGTTTGTTTTGCTTTGTTTGAGGGGTACTTATTGACTCCTGCTCATTTATTATGAGATTGCTTCCTCAGCTCAGCATGAAAAGAAACACTTCTAGTTTCTCTTCCCAAACATATAGGAGACAGGTGCTTCTGACTGGTGAGCTAGGGATAGTCTAACATGCACTGGCCCATCACCCAGGGGACAGACCTCTGCTTGGAAATGCAGTGAGCACCCACTGTTTCTTCTGCTCTCCTGCCCACCTTGACCCATCTGTACTCAGTACAGTGGGTGAATGACCTTCCAGCCTCTCCCCGGGCAACTAGACACATAAGTCAGGATCATCTGGGTCCCAAAGTCTTTGTTACAAAGGGATGCAGATGGCCTTGATATATTTTCCAACCCAGTCTGACCCTTCACAAAGCTGTCTCTATTTTGACCTCCATCAAGTATTTTCTAGGAAACCAAAGGGCAAAGAGAAATTATTAGGATTCCAGAACTACAATTACAACCACAAAGAAAGAAAGCATACTTCATGTTTTCATGTTGAAATATTCAAATAATACAGAAATTGCATTAAACTTTTTCTCCCACCTACCTGAAACCAAGCTGCTTCACCAAAGAAAGCCTCTGACAAAACAGGTTTGAAGAACCGAGCAATGAGTACTCCTATGCTAACAGTAGTCATCCATGCCACAAACATTAAGGCACCTACAGGTAAGAAAGTACAATGGTTGACATCACAAGCAAAGTTGTTCCTTAAATGACCAAGCCAAATGCTCAGAAAACATAAAATAGCCAGCAAAATACATCCAAATGAGCACAACCTAAAAACACCCTATGTATCATAGCTTTTACTGCCACCATTTCTACTCTTAATACCTAACACTTCCACAGTTCCTATTACATGCCAGGCATTATCTCTAAGTGTTTTACAAGCATTAGTCTAACTGACCTTTATGATAATCCTATGAGGTAGTTATTATTATTCCAGTTTTTTGCTAGATGGGGAAACTGAAAATTGAGAAGTTAAGTAACTCACCCAAATTTACAAAGTTGGGTTTCAAACCCAGTCTCCTGTCTGGCTTCAGCAACTGTGCTCTTAAACATTATAATAATATAGCCTGTCTATATAATATATAACTGTCCTCAGTTATCTCGGAATCTTCTCACATCTCACTCCAATAAAATAATGCGAAACAAATAGGCACATTATATCTGAATGCAGTTAACATCAAACTGGAGTTCACTACTAGAAGCAAATTAACAACAGTAAAGTCATTTTCAAGCATAACTGTGATAACATTTATTGAAACTACTGGAATGGATAACGGGAATATACCAAATAAGGAAAGTTCCCCAAAATACAAATAATTTTCAAAGTATAGTTAGCATACACTACACAATTCCCCGCCTTTAAAGTCTCATCTTTTCAGCAATATGCCAGGCTACTTTTTAAGTGGAACCAACCATTCACCTGCAGAACCAGAACACCTTAGAGCCTTGTTTTCAGGCTACTACTCTTACAACTGGGTTCCTTTCAGCATTTTAAATATAGGATACCGAAGTATACCACTGAGCATTTTGTATTCCCTCAAATACTCGTACATTGATCAGTACAAGTACAGACTTCCAGAACAAAACTGTATCTTTGAAACCAAACTACTGTCGAACAATAAAAATCACAAACCATTTTTTATTAACGTTTATTTTCATAAATGGAATATTTAAGGCTACATAAAGGTCACATTAATTAATCCAGTGATGCTCAATCCTGGCTACAGTTAAAAACAACTAAGATAGTTTTTTTAAAATTACAGATGTCTGAAAAGTTCCATTGATTTTAATGTGCAGTGAGGGTTAAAACCACTGAATTATCCCTACTCTCCATTTCTAATCAAAATTAGCAAACATTAAGATTGATAGTGCTACCTATAGATGTTAATGTTTAACAAAGAAGATTTATAAATATTTCTTAAATTATGCCCATCACCATTCCAAATCCAGCTAGCACTGAGTCTCCAGGTAAGTTTATTCCCCAAAGTAGTAATATACTATTACACATGTGACTTACCATGAGCCTTCAGAACGAGTAAAGAACGGGATCCTCCTATGTTCTCTGGATAGGCTGTCACATCATGTTTTCCATAAGTAATCAAAGGCTGCTGAAAATGCTTATAAATACGACCTGAAATTAAGAAAAAAAGAATGAAGAATTGATTCCTCATAAAAATTACAGCTTTTACGCAGCTTTACATAAGCCATTTATTTAAAATAAATGGTAATAAAAGAATGGTTTGTGATTTTCATTGTTGAACAGTAGTTTGGTTTCAAAGGAACAGATAAAAGAAAAGAATGGAAAGACAGTGGCATGGCATGGGAACAAAATGTCTTAAGGCAATAAATAAATAAATGTCAAGAGAGATGTCATTCATATGCAAAAGCAAAATAAACATATGTGCAAGTACACATGATCTTGAAAAAAATTAAGGAAATAAGTTAGCCAACCAAGAGATAAATCAAAATGAGGACTACAAATGGAAACATTACAGCAAAAGAAATGGTGGTATGCAAAAGACCAGTTAAACAATGTTAAGTCAAAATAATTACTGTTAATATGAACACAGATCATTGAAAATGGCAAATATAATTCTTGAAAAAGAATACATATAAAAGAAAATATAGAATCCTAGATAAACAAACAGAAATTAGGCCTGGAAAAAGGACAGAGAAGAGCACTTTGATGCTATATTATTTGGCATAAAGTCAGTCTAACCAGGGTTTGACTAACAGACTAGAATCCCAAATAATAGTGATGTAAACAAATTGAGGATATTATATTACATTATTATTAACTTTATATAAAATTAAACCTGTGAATGTACTGAATTATTCCAATTAGTTTGGGTATGTATGCATGTGAGTGTATACATATTCTTATTCTGGGAACCTATCTTACAGAAATACTCACCAAAGATGTATGCACAAGAATGTTCACAGAAACATTTTTTATGCTGACCAAAGAAAATTTAAACAAGCTAAAAGCATAAGGAGAATAAGTAAATAAATTAAGGAAAAAAACAGTATTTTCAGAACATAAGCAAGTGTCCAAAGGAATAAAAATAATTAAGAAATTTAACAAAGCAGATATATATGTCTTTGTCCCAAACAAGTAATAAGTATTAGACTATAGACTATATCCCAGTAATTTCCAGAAAGAAATTATTATATATAGGATATCAGTTACATTATCTATCCAAAATGCAACAAAACTAAAAATCAACAATAAAAAGCTAGGAAAAAATGGTCCACCCAGATATTTTATAAAGCTACTTTTCTAAATAAACCTTTGGGTTAAATAGGAAATCAAAACTAAAATCACAAGTTTTCTTAAAAATGAATAACAATGAGATACTTCATATCAAAACACATGTGATGCAATCAAGGTACTATTCAAAAGAAGTTTTTATCATCTTAAAAGCATTTCCTTTCAAAAACGTAACTTAAAGCATTGAAGTAATCATTTAATCCAAGATGCATTTAAAACAACAAAATATAACCTTGGAAACCTGAAAGTAAGATTGATTTAAAATAAAGGTAGAAATTAACAAACTAGTAAATCTAAAAATAAAAAAAATCAAGTCTGTAAAAGGCCAATAAAGCCAGTTGAATTTTTGGCAAGTCTGACCACAATGTAAAAAGAAATATCACAAAGAATTATTAGCAATAGAAAGAGCGAAATAGTTGTTGATATAGAAGATATTCTTTAAAATCATATGAAAATGGTACATACAACTTTAAGTCTGCCAAAAACATTCCAAAATCTAAATGAAATGGATGAATTTCTGGGAAAATCTACAATTACAAAACTTAAAGGAGTAGTAGTAATTCTGGAAGGTAGTACCAATGGAAATATTTGGCTGACTAAAAAAAATACTTCTATCTCTAAAGACTCAACTTGTTACGTGGATGAGTTCTATCATACCATTAAAAAATTTTTTTTAACTTTACAAATTCTTATTTATTTACTCTTAGAGTTCATTCTGAGATTAGTCTAACACTAAAACAAAAGCTAGGTAGGCATGCACACACACACACAAATACATACAACCCACGACCAAAAACCAAAACCATTTACAAATACTGGGCAAAAAGCTTAAATAAAATGTTAGTGAATCAAAACTGGGCATGAAGAGGAAAATAAAATATGACCAAGCAAGGTTTATGCCAGGAGAGTGAGAACTGTTCACCCTTCAGAAATCTTTAAAAGTAATTATGCAATATTTTCTCAATTCCTGCCTGAAAGACATCTGATGAAATTGAGCATACATTCATGACATGAACTCTTCGTAAAGTTAGGAATATAAGAACATTTCCTAAAACAAGAAAAGATACCCACCAGAAAAATACAACAAACACAACACAACACTGAATATCAGAAGTATTCCCAGCAAAATTGGGAACAAGACAAGAATGCTTGCCATGTCACCACTGCCACTCCACATTTTTCTGGGAGGAGTAAACAATGCAATGAGACAAGAAGGAAAATGAGGCCTATTAACCCTGTCATGATTTGCATGAAATACAATGTTTATGTAGAAATCCAAGGAAATCCAGATGGCTAAGTACAAGATAAACATTAAAAAAATCAGCAACTTTCCTATGCACCAACAAATTTACAAAATGTAAGAAAAATAATACCATCCATAACAGTTCGTATTAGAAATTTATAAAATAGCTAAGAATAAAGTAACAAAAATATATAAGCTCTATATGAAAATATAAAGAAAACCACAGGATCTGAATAAATGGAGTATCTCAATATATATTCCTGGGTGGGAAGACTCAGTATTGCAAAAATTATCAGTTATTCCCCATGTCAATCTAAAATTTCATTGCAATTCCAATCACAAACCCAATAGGATTTTTAATGGGGTTTGACAAATCACTTCTAAAGTTTATGTAGATACACAAGAAAGAGGCAAGAATTCCCAAAAAAAGAAGTCAGGACAGGACTCTTGCTCTATCAAAATTCATAATGTATTATAAAGCCATAGAAATTTCAACTAGTGCAGTAATAGACAAATAGATCAATGGAAAAATAAACTAAAATGTAAGCTTGATTTACTGACAGATCTTTAGTATATGATAAAGAGGCTGTGAAGCACTAGAGACAACTGGACTATTCAACAAATGGTGCTGGACACCTGGTTATTCATTTGACAAATACTATTATACCACAAAGATCAGATAGGAAGATCAGAGACAAAGCAGAAAGCAAGAAGAGTTTCTCTAATGAATACTTCTAATGAAAAGAGTGTTCAAGAAGAAACAGAAAACAACTATCAGGAATTACAAAAATGTCAAAAAGGAAAAGATAGAGAAAACTATTGAAAATGACAAGAAATGCACTGATGAATCTAAAAAGACTGCTTTTGAAGAGTGATAGATGAAAAGCAGACAACATCCCCAACAGCCTGTGAGTCAAGTGGGAAAAAAAGTTTTTCCAAACTTTGATTCACTGCAGAGCCATGATCTAAGCAAGAACTTAACCTTCAGTAAAGCAGAAGTCCATTATAATTTCAGAGTTCCATCGCATGGCCCCAGTATAATTTTGGAGTTCTGCTCTGAGGCACGTTGAGTTCATGATTAGTACAAGGCTCTATAGTATTATGTGACCTATGGTATTCCTGAATTACTGAAATAACAGGTCATTTAATAACAGGTCTCTGGTTCATTAATTATTTAAATCGGTAGACTTCCTAATTGTGAGTTACTTATTCACCCAAGTGAGTTCTATCTTTCAGTTCAAACACTCAGCATTTCACATAACTACTTATCTCATGATCAGACAATGTCAGCATTCTGGGGAGGAAAATAGCAGTTAGAAAAGGTTTTAAATGGGTTTTACTAAAATTGGGTACATTTTACATTTATATGGGCTACAGAGATTTTATGATTGCTTTGAAAAATTGTTTCAACCTTATAAAGTCTCAGTGCTTTTAAGTAAAGTGAAAACTTATAAATGGTTCACATAAATAGAACTGGATAACAGAAGAGACAATGATTTATGTGGTAACCATACTTCGTTCCTCAATACAAAGGAACTGAAAATGAATTCCCTGGAGCAGTAATGTCTAGGTTGGTTTTTTTTTTTTTGAAGGTTTGTTTTGTTTTGCTTTTTGCTTTGCACTCCACCATTTAAAAAGAAACAATGAGTCTGTACCCCAATATATGTATATTTTAACTAACAAACATATTCATGTATTATTGTTTCAATACATTATGAACACTATAAATAAAGCACATGAAAATAGAAATTTTTTTAATAAAATAAACCTAAATGGAAAGTTCTAGTATTAGTCCCTGTATCCCCTGGACTGCCTTCCAATATGTACCTCTTACTTGGGAAACCTTGTCCTAGAGCAATAAATTATCAGGTCACTGAACACAGATCAACCACCTGGGATGTTTGTTAAGAACGCAATCCAAGCCTCAACAACAGAGATTCAGTGGGTCTGGGATGGAGTTGAGGAATCTCCATTTTTAGCAGTAACTCCAAGTGGTCCTGAAGGAGGTTGTTTGACCATCATACTTTGAGAAACACCACAAAAGACAAGGTAGACATTTCACCATGCCATCAGCACAGCCACACGAACAGGAGAGGAAGATAAAGCAATTCTCTGTTCTGCACATGTATTATCAATGAACTAGGCTTGTCTGGGGGGCTTTTAGAACTACTATTTAAAATGTTTTTATTAGATAATATGTTCCAATTTCCACAGTGTTGACCTAGTAGAAATATGGGGCATTGCCATACACCCACACACACACACTTTAACATGCAACAGAATTCATCCATTAAATGAAATTGCTTGTCTTTTAAAGTATAAATTTTTTAATGAAATAACAGGTCATTTAATAACAGGTCTCTGGTTCATTAATTATTTAAATCGGTAGACTTCCTAATTGTGAGTTACTTATTCACCCAAGTGAGGTCTATCTTTCAGTTCAAACACTCAGCATTTCACATAACTACTTATCTCATGATCAGACAATGTCAGCATTCTGGGGAGGAAAATAGCAGTTAGAAAAGGTTTTAAACGGGTTTTACTAAAATTGGGTACATTTTACATTTATATGGGCTACAGAGATTTTATGATTGCTTTGAAAAATTGTTTCAACCTTATAAAGTCTCAGTGCTTTTAAGTAAAGTGAAAACTTATAAATGGTTCACATAAATAGAACTGGATAACAGAAGAGACAATGATTTATGTGGTAACCATACTTCGTTCCTCAATACAAAGGAACTGAAAATGAATTCCCTGGAGCAGTAATGTCTAGGTTGGTTTTTTTTTTTTTGAAGGTTTGTTTTGTTTTGCTTTTTGCTTTGCACTCCACCATTTAAAAAGAAACAATGAGTCTGTACCCCAATATATGTATATTTTAACTAACAAACATATTCATGTATTATTGTTTCAATACATTATGAACACTATAAATAAAGCACATGAAAATAGAAATTTTTTTAATAAAATAAACCTAAATGGAAAGTTCTAGTATTAGTCCCTGTATCCCCTGGACTGCCTTCCAATATGTACCTCTTACTTGGGAAACCTTGTCCTAGAGCAATAAATTATCAGGTCACTGAACACAGATCAACCACCTGGGATGTTTGTTAAGAACGCAATCCAAGCCTCAACAACAGAGATTCAGTGGGTCTGGGATGGAGTTGAGGAATCTCCATTTTTAGCAGTAACTCCAAGTGGTCCTGAAGGAGGTTGTTTGACCATCATACTTTGAGAAACACCACAAAAGACAAGGTAGACATTTCACCATGCCATCAGCACAGCCACACGAACAGGAGAGGAAGATAAAGCAATTCTCTGTTCTGCACATGTATTATCAATGAACTAGGCTTGTCTGGGGGGCTTTTAGAACTACTACTTAAAATGTTTTTATTAGATAATATGTTCCAATTTCCACAGTGTTGACCTAGTAGAAATATGGGGCATTGCCATACACCCACACACACACACTTTAACATGCAACAGAATTCATCCATTAAATGAAATTGCTTGTCTTTTAAAGTATAAATTTTTTAAGTATAAAACTTTTTAAAGTATAAATGCAAACTGTTACATTCCCTAGCAATTTAAGACTTCCATTTGAGTCAATAATCATTTAGGAAGCCGCTATAACATGCTGGGCACCAAAGGAAGTAATCTGGTATGACAGAAAGGGCATGACTTTTGTCATTGGAACAGACCTGGTTTTAATTTTTAACTCAGCTACTTGTTTGATTTTGAACATGTTAGTCAACCTTTCTAGGTTCCAGTTTCCTTATCTCTAAAATGGGCAATATAATATCTATTTAACCTCTGTGAGAAATAAATGAGATGTATATAATGTACAATAAGTGATTGCTACAGTAACAAACACAGTTACCTGTAATTTAGTGATGTCTGCTTAAAAACACAAATATTTGACCTTTTCCTCATTAAAAATTCAGTTCTTACATTTTCCATGTTCAAAAGTGTTGCATACTTGGGCTTTGAGTATTCACAAGAGAGTTTGGGTTCAAATTCCAGTGATTTTTATTTGTCTGGGCAAATCATTTAATCTCTGTAAGCCTCAGTTTCCTCCCAGATAAAACAGGGATATTAATAGTTCATACATGGTATAGTTTTTATGATAAAAATGAAGTGCTTAGGCAGTGACCAGCACTCATTAAGCACTGAGTAATTTTATTTCACTATCATATAACCAATAAATGATTTTCAAGCCATATTTGCTGGTGCTGGTTCTAATAAGAATACACAATTTGACTAAGATAACTCCACAGATCACCTACAACTAAAAAATACTGAGTAGATATTTTATCCTGCCTCAAAACCTTTCTGTCTCCATTTAATCTATAGTACAAAATCTAAACCACATGAAGAATATGCAAAGCTTCTCACAATTGTGCCTTCACCACATTTCTGCTCTTCCTCTATCCCCTAACCCTCCGTTTGATATGCCCAGCTTCTCCACATTTTCAAAGGAGGCTATATTCTGAAAGTTTAGAGTCAGTTTTATCTCCCAAGCAATGAGTCAATAAATACTACTACCCTTGGCATTTCCTGCCATTCTTCAAAACATCATTAGCCAAGACCTTCAAAAAAATCTAGTTATTCCTATTAATACGTGTTGCAGTACCTACCAGGGCATCTTAAAGAAAAACTAAACATTCAAACCCATAAAGCTACTTTAGGCTGCATCTGGCATCAGATTGACTTAGAAAGATGCAGAACAGGAAGCACAACCCACCTGCAGGGCACTGTGAGGCCCTTCCGTGGGAGGTCTCGTAGCAGTTTACACAACCACCCAGGAGCTATTTTCTTTACCCCCACCCCTCCACCTTCCTGGAGAAACTCAGGTTCGAAAGCTCCTATGAGATTCATGTCAGACAGGTGATCCCACAGAAGGCAATATCCCTTGCAACAACCCCAAAGTTACTTCTTACAGGATCCCTGCAAGAGATCTGCCAAAGACAACACTCAGGGAAGCCCGAGGTGTGGCTTCTTACAGGTGTTTATACTTCTTCCTGATTCAAATGCAGTTTACCAGCCAGAGTCATTTTTATTGCAAGCACGTTGCCTTACAATACAGTTGAGAGTACTTTTATCTAGTTTCCAGGAAAACAAAGCTAGATCAACCAAAGACAAATTGTCAGGCAAAATGGGTGTGGCTTTTGGTAAGTCTTTACCCACAAATACGTATCTTAAAAATGAGCAATTACAGTAATCTCCAGAAAAGAGGGAAAAAGGAAGAAGAAAGAGAAAAACATTTGATTGTTTTTTATCAATATACTTACCATCAACAGCTGCACCAGCTGCTAGGAAAATGTAGTAGCTTGTATTTAGATTAAATCTATTCTTAACCCCAGGAAGGGTAATATTTCTTCTGAAGGAACACTGCATAACACCGTCCACCAGCCTCCAGGCCATATCCTTAAGAGCATCCTACAAAAACACACAATAGGTCTTCTCAGCACTTTCCAAAGATTTGCTAAAAATATGATCATAGTCCTGTCCTGTTCAATTTCCTTTCTCTAAGATCCTTTGTGCATGTTTTGTCTACAGTGTTGCTGTTTTTCCATCTCCTCTTTGAAGAATCCAAGAAACATTTTCTCCCAGTTTATTTGTCTTTATCCCACTTGGCAGAAATATTATTTTTACTTTGAGTCAGAACCCCCCAATTCCTCTACCTGGGTTAGAAACTTTGGCAGATGTACTAACTCTATCTGGCCACTAATACACAATCAAAACCCATGAAGAAATAATGAGCAAGAAGTACTTTCATGGCCCAAATGCAACATACCACTGGGGAGAAGTGCCAGCCCCACCAGAAAGCTCTGCCAAGAATGTGACATGTCATCAGACATAACTACTGCTTGGTCACAGCTCATTGGTTTATCTACTGCCCTGTGCAAAAGACACCTCCCTGCCAGAAATAGGCCACCCTTGCCCAGATGCCAACGAGGGGGCTTGTGAGACAACTAGCCATGGCTCTGAACCAGTCTTCACCACATATGTTCCTCTCACTGGACAAGAAATCCTTCGGGCCACTGACATAAGTGTCTTAAACAACTGCCTGTAAGCTTTTAAAAAGGGCCTGATGCTTTGACCATCTTAACAAACCATAAAATATTTTTTGTAAGATGCAAAACAAGGATTATGTGACACAGGCAAGAATGCATTTCTCATTTCCTTCCAGAGAAACTTGCCTAGGGCTTTCTAAAGTGTAGAAAAGGAGAGAATGTAGGTGAAAGGGCACAATTTTTATCAATATACTTACCATCAACAGCTGCACCAGCTGCTAGGAAAATGTAGTAGCTTGTATTTAGATTAAATCTATTCTTAACCCCAGGAAGGGTAATATTTCTTCTGAAGGAACACTGCATAACACCGTCCACCAGCCTCCAGGCCATATCCTTAAGAGCATCCTACAAAAACACACAATAGGTCTTCTCAGCACTTTCCAAAGATTTGCTAAAAATATGATCATAGTCCTGTCCTGTTCAATTTCCTTTCTCTAAGATCCTTTGTGCATGTTTTGTCTACAGTGTTGCTGTTTTTCCATCTCCTCTTTGAAGAATCCAAGAAACATTTTCTCCCAGTTTATTTGTCTTTATCCCACTTGGCAGAAATATTATTTTTACTTTGAGTCAGAACCCCCCAATTCCTCTACCTGGGTTAGAAACTTTGGCAGATGTACTAACTCTATCTGGCCACTAATACACAATCAAAACCCATGAAGAAATAATGAGCAAGAAGTACTTTCATGGCCCAAATGCAACATACCACTGGGGAGAAGTGCCAGCCCCACCAGAAAGCTCTGCCAAGAATGTGACATGTCATCAGACATAACTACTGCTTGGTCACAGCTCATTGGTTTATCTACTGCCCTGTGCAAAAGACACCTCCCTGCCAGAAATAGGCCACCCTTGCCCAGATGCCAACGAGGGGGCTTGTGAGACAACTAGCCATGGCTCTGAACCAGTCTTCACCACATATGTTCCTCTCACTGGACAAGAAATCCTTCGGGCCACTGACATAAGTGTCTTAAACAACTGCCTGTAAGCTTTTAAAAAGGGCCTGATGCTTTGACCATCTTAACAAACCATAAAATATTTTTTGTAAGATGCAAAACAAGGATTATGTGACACAGGCAAGAATGCATTTCTCATTTCCTTCCAGAGAAACTTGCCTAGGGCTTTCTAAAGTGTAGAAAAGGAGAGAATGTAGGTGAAAGGGCACAAATTTGCAGTTATGGGAGATGACTAAGTCTAGAAATCTGATGCACAGCATGATGATTATAGTTAATACCACACTGTATGCTGGATATTTGCAAAGACAGTTGATTTTAGGCACTCTCACTCCAAAAAAGAAAAAAAAAATGGTAACTATCAGAGGAGATGGATATAGTAATTAGCTTGATTATCATAATCATTTCTCTATGTATAGGAATATAAAATCACCATGTTGTACACCTTATATACAATTTTATTAAATATGTATAGTAAAAAAATTTTTTAAGTGCAGAACAATGACTCCCTGATTATTATAAGAGAGGAACCTGGCTGCCAGGCCCCTACGTGGGCTCTGCCATTAACTGCAGGTCTGTAGCTATCTTGCAGCACAGCCATGCTCAGCCACACAGCCAGATGAGGACAGGTCAGGTGGAGGTGCCCAGAATTTTCACACCTACCCCAGAGTCCATCACAGGGTGGCTTCGCCCCATCAGATGGGAAGGTTTTATGTGCACAGTTTCACCTTCACGAATACACACATAAGCATCATCATCACCCTGAAAAACAATTGCCAGTGAGAACTTAGAAAAATTTGAACATTCTGTTTTTTAAAAAGTCTCTAATGAAATCGATTAGTATTTGATGCTTTCAAAACAGAATTTACTGACAATCTTGAAGGACACTAGGAATTTTGGAGAAATGGCTGTCTGTTTTATTAATTTAAAATAATTTTGTTATAATACAAAAGCAAATACATGCCCATAAACCCATTCCTAATTGAATAGTACTGTGAATACTTCTGTATATATTCATCCAAGCCTATCTGCATTTAAACCCATCTCTTCATCTCAAATGGGAATATATATACATTTTTCCTACGTTTTTTCACTTAAGTCATCGTGAACACTGTTCTGGATATTTCTTTGTAAGTAAATATCTATGTCCCTAAAATTTTCATGACTGTCAGTGCACTGCATTATGTTAGGTTTTGGGGGTAACTTCTGAGATGGAAGTGCACTGCATTATGTTAAGTTTTGGGGGTAACTTCTGAGATGGAAGACACTATAATCAAAAATGCTAATATTGTACACACTCTATAGATTTTCTATTACATGTTGAGACCAATGCCTGAGCTCAAGGAGGTATTTTTTTGTCAGCCTAATTCTTATCTATCCTTTAGTCTGTAATATCCCTTTGCTCCCAAAAGTTGAATCTTATTCAAAGTGACTATCAGAGGTTAGACAGCATCTTCAAAGTACATTCATTTAAGTGATAGTACAAATGAAAAATCTGGACTTTAAGTTACTGTGTATAGAGCTTGTTCTTTCACCTATGCTAACTTGTTCTCCATAAACTGTCAATGTATTTTATGTGCTTTAGTCACTAAATTCTTTAAACAAGATTCAAGAACTAAAAAGTTATCATGAATTTTGCTATAATCTAACGTGTTTTAAATTTGTTTTTTAAAGTCCCACTTTTGAGAACTCTGAAGCACATACCTTAGAAAGCAATTATTCACCATTAGCACCTGATATTCAAATCAGAACTAGCCCAACTCAAGATAAAAAATTTGGAGTTGTCATTATTTAAACCAGGAACTGACAAACTATGGCACACAGTCCAAATTCAGCCTGATGCCTGTTTTGTACAGCCCATGGACTAAGAATGGTATTTACATACCTACATGGTATTTTTTTAATTAGAAAAAGAAGACTATTTCATGTCAAGTAAAAATATGTGAAATTCATATTTCAGTGTCTGTAAATGAACTTTCATTGGTACACAGTCACACCTGTTAATTTACAGATTGTCTGAAAGTGCTTTAGCATCAGAGTTGAGTAGCTGCAACAGAGATGATATGCCCACAAATTCTAAATTAGTTACTATCTGGACCTTTACAGAAAAAGTTCACTGATCTCTGACTTAAACAGCAAAATGTGTTCTCTAGGATATCTATTCCCAATGAGGCATAAGAATTCTTTTGTTATTTACAAGAAATTCTAATGTAACAGAATGGTTGACTTTGAGGCAAACTGATGCTAAGTCAATTAACATACTAAATCATTATAAGCACACCTTTCAAATATTGGAAAGCAAGACAGGAATGGAGAAGAGATAACTCTCATTTCTCACTACTCTATAATGAAGGTAAGAGAAGGCGCTATTCCAGCCTTAGGCTCCAGACAGTTCTATAAAGCCTAGGGTTAGAATATAGAAGCACACATGTAAGAAGTTCTACAAAATCCCTGAAATGAACAGAACCTCTTTCCCTGATTTGTTCCTCTCGATTCAAGATTTAGAACACACTCAGTGAGAAAACATTGTGTGAATATACTTTGTATATATTCATCCAAACCTATTTGTATTTACACCTCTTAAACATTGTGTGGATACTGTGAGAGCAATAAAGATAACTAGATGGTCCATACAATCAAAAACTATGTTTTAATGGGGGAGAGATAACTGTAATAGTACGTGAAATATGATAAAACAGATTTAGACAAAGTACCAAATTATGTAGGACCAAAGGATTGAAAAGCTTATGGGAAAACACAGTAATTAACTAAGGTTTAGAGAATAAAAAACTTAAACATGTGGGTAAGGAAGAGCTGGGATTAAGGGGAAATTTTCCAGACTGACGAACTTCTGGGATCAAAGATATAGAAATATTTTTTAAATGAAAATTTTTAAAAACTGATAGTTATGTTAGCTAAAACATATACAGGGTAAGGCTGGAAATTTAGAAATTCAACAAGGACTTTGAAGAATTTTGAAAGCCATGCTTATGAAAAAGAACATTTTTATTTTAACTACTAAAGGTTCACAAAGGTTTGGGCTCTAGGATTGAGATGGTCTCAGCTGTAGCTTGAGAAGGAACACCAGTGGCTGTTGAAAGATGACACAGAAAGGAGAAATCAGTGTAGGCAGGAGTACTGGTAAGGGGTTACTGCAGCAGTCAAAAAGGTGAAAATACTTTTTGTATTTTTCAAAATACTTTTATTACAAAAAGGTGTAAGCTAAGTCAGAGATAGTGCCAGTGCAATAAAGAAAATGAAAGAAGTATGTAAAAGACAGAATCAAAATTATATGGAAGATGGTGGCAATGAACATGTAACTACCCAAATCTTGACTTCTAAATACCACTCCTATTTAAAGGAAACAGAGCTCCCTTGAGAAATTATGAAATGCATGGAATAAGATGATTGGAGAACATGTTACACCAGAAAATAAGAACATACTCAAAAAATTAATAGAGACTTGGATCAAAAGGGGACAGAAACCAGCTCGAATGGGCTGCCATTGGCCACGTTTGGGTCCCTATGGGTATTTAAAAGAACGATGGTAATACACTGTAACACAACAGGGAAAAGACATTAGTCCATAGTGTTCTTTTCCAAAAGAGAAGAGGTGCAGAGAAAAGAAAGCTCTTCTTTTCAGATAATGCTAGCTAATAAATGAACTATAACATCCCTGTATCTGCAATCGCAAATTTAACAATTGATTCAGGAAGGAACATCAATAGATGCTAAAATCGTTTGGTAAAACATTATTGGGGAATAGAACATTCAGACAGACTCAAAGTATCAGCCCACAGATTACTTATTAATTAAAAAGAGAAAATACACCCTCACAATGGAAAAATCTGACAGATACCAGTGATAAAATAGAGAATCCTCTATAATGGAATTTGACATAATGCACCTTTGATATGATGCACTGAGATGGAAACACATCCTTTAGGCATTATTTATGCCAAAAATCTCAACGTGAATCAATTTTACAAATTGTGGGATATTCTACAAAACAAGTGACCTGGGAAAAAAAAATCAAGAAACTGGTAGGGTTACTGCACTAAAGTAAGAGATTAAAGAGATATAGCAATTAAATGCATTGAGTGATAATTGATTGGGTCTTGTATCAGAATTAAAAAAAAAAAACAGCTATAAAAGACTTCATTGGGACAATTGAGGAAATTGGAATATAGACTGTATATTGTATAAAATCATTATTATACCATCATTAAGTTTTCTCAATGTGATAAAGGTATTACGGCAATTGTAAGAAAATGTCCCTGTTCTTGGAAAACATGTGCTACAAATTTTAGAGGTAAAATGTTAATGATATGTTTATATTTTAACTGTCAGATGATAGTTCAGGAAAAAATGTGTATTTATGCCTCATAGGTTGATGTATACACACATATACTCACACATGGAAAGAGAGAGTAGGAGAGAATGAGTAAGCAGCAAATGTTAGGTGAAGGACTTACTGGTGCTTGTTGTACTATTCTTTCAACTTTCATGTAGGTCTAAACTTTTTAGAACAAAAAGTTGGGGATGAGTAGGAGAAAGAAGGACCTGAGAGGGGAATAAAAGGGAGAAATCTAAGTCACAACCAAAATTCTCTGGACACAATAGAAGACAATGGCATCAATGGATGAAATACTCTATAAATTGCCCAGTATTTGAAAAGAAATGAGAAAATCAATAACGGTAGCTGCTTTTTGATTATTGTTGCTGATCCCCAAGAATGGGGAACACAAGAGGATATTAGGAGGGAAGATAATAAGTTCAGTTTTATAGAAGATAGTTTGTGTTGTCCAGGAACGCTCATGTGGACAAGATCAGCCGGCAGCTAGAAATCCCAACCTGGAGTGTAAGAGAAGACGTCAGGACTGGGATCATTCTAGAGTTTTAGCACTGAGAAATTATGTATACAGCAAGATGATACTGGGCGGGGGAAGAGAAAAGAAGTGAATATATAGTATGTATACTTTATATATCATTTAACAAAACATCTGAGATGGGGAGGATGGGTATACTTTCAAATTCAGTTAAAATTCAGACATTAGCAAGTCTTTGTTAGCAAAAGTATGCAAAAATTATACTTGCCACCAATTTTAGTGATGAGACCTAATACCAAAACAATTGCTATCATTAATTTACAAGCCAACTGAAAAAAAGGTGTGATTTAGATTATCTAATCAGTATTCATAACATCAGACACCTTCAGAATTTATATTACATACGGAAAAGAAATAGCAGGTTGTAAAAATATCCTAAAAATTTTTAAATAACCAAAAATAGAAATAACCACTTTAAAAATATTTTTTAAGGATGATTTATTTTCCCCAGTTTAGGCAAACAGGTGTACAGATGATTTTAATCATTAAATAAGATTGCTCTGTAAATCAACTGCACCTGCATAATTAAGTTTTTTTTATAAACATTTTTGATGAGTGCTATACTAGAAACATAAGATTTCTAAGTAAGATAAATATATCTTGAATTAGAGATAAATGCTTTTTTATCTCTACAACTTAGAACAGAAATAGCTGGATACTTACAGGCTTATCACCACACTGAGTGCAACAGTAGCACCTTTTCCATTTGCTGGCAGATTTTATGAAGTATAGCTATAGAGTGACTGGAATGTTTTTTATTTAAGTAGTTAGAACACATATCTAAATGTGTGATAAGCCCTAATGAAACTACACACTTATTTCAAAAATTAACCATTGTTAATCCCCCTTGGACTGATCTTCAGAATTCCCTTCCTAGCCAGTTCCATCACATTCACACACCAGGTACTACCATCGTCTGACACTTACTAGAGTCACACTGGATTTCTAGCCCAGCCTTGTTATCTAACCTATACACCAAACTTGATTCATATTTGCCAGAACTGACAATACACAAAAAGATTTGCTTATAGGTCTGGTGGGAATTACAAAAAGGGGGGAAAATATTTTAAACAATTGCAACATTATTCGAGCAAGGACAGAATTTCCCATAAAAGTGTCTTTAGAAAAGAGTCATAACTTTCATATGCTATTTTTAAAAGCATATGATATAGCCTATATTTCATAGGTTTAAGGTATATCCCTTGTTTGATGAAAGAAGATAACAAGTGCATTCTGGAACTATACAGTAGAATATATAGGTCATATACTTACATTGCAGTTTCTTCCTCCTAAAAAAAGTTACAACTACCTTCTCTGAATACTTGCAACCAGTGTAAAGGACCAATATGATCAGAGTGATCCTTTAGGGAAAACATTAGCTCTTCTACCACAGAATCTCAGTATTCCTTTCTTTTTTTTTTAAAATATGATTCCATAAAGAAGTGATGTTAAGTTTAAAACCTAACAGGAAGATAATTCTCAAGAAAAGACTCCTTGCCTTTGCTAATGTGTAAGAGGCTTTATCCATCTGTATTCATTACTGCCCGTCACTGCTAACTCTGCCTTAACAGGACATACATGTGTCCCAGACACAATACTCTTCTTCCTTCTCCCTGGGAAATCGGGATTCTTTAAGCACTCTGCTCTTCCACACCGTAGCACAAGGCTGCCACCTACAGAATCATCTAATGCATTCAGCATTACCTAGGGAGAATCAGTTTAAATTGCAGCCTTCTGTAGATCTGACAAAGGAGCCTACTGGTAAAGAACACACTTTTGCCTGGACGCTCCATGCTTAATTCACTGTTGGGAAAATGCACCAGTGACTACCACAGTGGGGACGCCCAGAGCATGCTGTAGTTGCTGGCCACTTGAGAATATAACTGGGGTTTGAAAAGCATCACAGACAACATGAGATTTTTATGCACAGCAACTTTCCTTACCTGCATTTTTTGCTTTATCAGCGAGATAAACAGAGATAGAAACATAAAGTGGCAAATCCACTGGAAAGAAAATGATTTTCCTTTCTTTCCCTAGGACAGTCTGCTCTTAGAGGTATGTTAATTGCCCTACTGTTAAAAACATGAAATACCCAAAGAAGTTTAACTTAGAACCTGTTCTAAGTTAGTAACTCCTGCCCTGCCCTGCCCATTCCTCCCTTAAGTAAAATCATTTGACTCTGGAATGAATAACTAAACTGCCATTGTTTAGGCTCACTCCAGTGATTTTGCTTTCATTACCACTTAAGTAAATGAGAGGTACAAACCATCCATCTGTCGTGAGAAAATGCAAAGGATAAATAGCCGTTACTGGGACCACTCATTTCAACCATCACTGATTGGTTATCTCGTGTGAAGGACAAGAAGGCACAGGCATGCTCCTTCTCTGGGTCACAATTCAAGGGACTCCTAATACAGAACTTCTTGTTCCCACAGTCTGAAGCACTGAACTAGAAAAATGACAAGGGAGAAAAAAATCTTAATTATCAAAATTTCCAATGACAGAAGAGTCACTGCCTTGAAGCACAGGTTTTAATGAGAATAACTTTTCATAATAAGGAGTCAAATAAGGAACAAGACTCATCCTAAATTAGAAATGATCAGAGCACTAGTTAGGTTGTGAACTTTTAAACTTATTAATTTTAATTAAAATTTGGAAGATACAACATTAGTTAGACTGTAATTGTGCACGAGTATTAAAGTACCTTTAAGACACAAAATATTTCACATTAATTAAGTTCTGGAGAAAGTTTCTGGTTAATTTTGAGAAACTTCTTAGGGAATATTAAAGACCATGTTGACATTCTTAGCATAAAGGGTACCCTCTAATTTTGGAGAAGGAATTTTAAAAAGCAAACAAACAAACCCTTAGCAAGTTTTTATATTTAGACTCTGACTCTGTTTCTAGAATTCAGGTTCAAATTTGACACTAAAATAATATAAGAAAAAATGGCTATTGCTACATATACTGCCACTTCAAATAATGCTAATAACAATTTAGCTGGGGAAAAACAAAACCAATCTACAATGATTTAATTCAGAGCTTCTTGGTATGGCAAATAAGAGAATTACCAAAAAAAAATGTCAGCTCTACAGTCTGACAGAGCAAATGAACAGTTATTAGATGCTGTCATTAGAATGGGCTCTGACAGTACATTTCAGAAGAGAGCTAAACATCACTTCATGTAACTAGATTTAATGGGAACTGTGTAGAAAAAACTCTCATGTCTTCTACACTACTAATACTTCTGGTCAGCAAATGTCAGGGCTTGGGGAGGGGAGAGTTTGCCATACTAAGCCATCCTGTAATTCTCTGAACACATCAACTTGGAGTCCCATAATTCAATTCCATTCTGATACTATCTACCTGAAGTTATTGTCAGATCCCCTAAGACTGCACCCACTTCCGATGCCAATCACAAGTTCCAGGTTCCCACAGGAGGGCATTGGCAGTTCCCATGACCTCCTCCTTGGGTTTGATAATTCATTAGGATGGCTCACAGAACTCAGGAAAACAGAGTACTTACTGGATTACCAGTTTATTATAACAGGATACAACCCCGAACAGTCAGAGGGAAGAGATGCAGAGGGGAAGGTATATGGGAAGGGGGCAGAGCTTCTCTGACCCTCTAAGGCACCACCCTCCCATTACCTCTATGTGTTCGGCAACCCAGGAATTCTCCAAACCCCATAATTTTCTATTTTTATGGAGGATTCATCACATAGGCATATTTGGTTATCAACTCATTTTGAAGCCCCTCTCTGGAGAATGGAGAGTGGAGCTGAAAGTTCCCAGCTTCTAACCATGGCAGGTCCTTTTGGCAACCAGCCGCCATCCAGGAGCCACCCAGAGTCACTGCCTTAGAACAAAAGACACTTGTATCATCTGGGAAATACCAAGGGATTTAGGAGCTCTGTCTGATGCCCGTATTAAGCAGAAAATTACAAAGGTTTTAGGAGCTCTGTATCAGGAGCTAGGGTCAAAGATCAAATATTAGCAACCAGGGCAGAGTCCAATATATATTTATTTCTTATTATTTCACTGGAACTTAAAGAGAAATCATTCTAGAGTAGAAAGAACAAGCTACTAGGAAGTAGAAACTTGGGCTTTAGTCTTGGCTCTCCCCTTTCCTCCATTACATTCACTAAAGGATTTATTCTCTCTGAGTTCCTTCACCTTCAACTAGACAACAGGGACTGAGTGAAATAGACCCTTAGATCTCTTCTAGTTCTACAAATGCTATAATCTCAACATTCTGAAAGAACTTCCCTTTAACTGAAGATTATTGGTGCAGAGACACATTAAAAACTCCAGCAAGAGCTAATGTCTTGCATGCGAATAACTGGAAAGATAATCTGTCAACAGATTCTAACTGGGAAGTTCAGGTCCAAAATGACTGGTTACTCCCCTAAAGTAGCTCAGCTTTTAAGTAAATAAACATGAAGACTAAATAAACTGAGAACTGGTGGAAATAATGGATCTAATTGTATAGTCAAACAAAAGTGAAACATTCATAATGTAATGAAATATAATCATCATATATTGCAAAACATAGAAGAAAAGGAAGACAAAAATGAGACATTACATAGCAGTGCAAGAGCTTTACTTAGTCTTCCCTATGAGAACAAAGAGTTGTAAAAGGATAACGGGGAAAAAAATACAAAAGGAACTGATATTTACTGAATATCTAGTAAATACAAAGCAGTTTGAAACCTTATATTTATAGTGATACTTCTAAGAGATAGATATTATTTCTCATTTTATAGGTGAACTGAGACTTAGAGAATTAAGTAATTTGCCCAAAGTCACACAGAAATTAGATAAGTCAGGAGTCAGGCCCAAGTTTCCTCTTTCAACTGTAATAACCTGACATGACATTTTTCATTATATTCACTTCTGAATTAGTAAGCCTGATTTACCAGAATTGACTTCAGTAAAACCTTTCTAGTGTTTCTAATATGCATTACCCATTCCAAGATACATTTTCTTCAATCATAACTCATTTGAATCAGAGGCCTAAATGGAATTCCAGTTGATGTCCTTGCAGAAGAGTTTCTGTAGTTCATCACACAGAATTTCCCAGAGTGCACTGCCTTAAAGAATTAAGATCTAAGAATTATATCACCATTTCAAGATTCTCCTCCACACCTTGTCTACATTTAGCTTTACCCTTTTAAGCTCTTCCCCATGTTTGATATTTAGCTGATTTAAAAAAAAAAAAGCTGCTGCTTAATCAGATTTATTTTCAAATAAAAATGTAACCACTGCTAGTATAGGCTGTGTGTGAACATCATAAGCACACATTCAGCATGCAGGGTCTTGCACTACCTTTATTCTAACCTATAAATTGGAATGTTGCAATGAAGACTGCCTTCGGCTTCCTACAGAGAACTCAAAAACTTGCAGCCACAATCCAGTACGGCTACTTCTCTACACACTTCACCAAGCAAAGAACCATAATTTCCAAAGAAGCTATTATTTTAGATGCCTTTTGGTGAAATCAGAAAAATGTTACTTACGGATTTTGTTAAATGGGAGACTGGAGGTAACGTTGACAAAGGGGCTATCGTAGCTTCACGTGTCGTAAAAGGAAGTGAGTTTGGTTGTGAAATTACAGGTCCAGGAATCTTCACCCAGTAGATTTTATACTTCTGAACAACTGTGACTCTGAAATGCCATATCAATGAAATCAGACAGAACTCTGGTTATGGCCCATTATCATGAAACCAAGGGAAAACAAAAAGGGAATGAAGTAGAGATGAACAACTTAACAATACCTAAAGCACTACTAATTTGTCTGAGGCAAATCTCTAATGCCTCTTCCACCCCATGACTATATGAACTTCTAGGGCACTTGCTCTCTCGCTCACTCACACTCTCTCTCTGATTCTCACTCCTTTGTCTGTTCTTTGGGCACATTCACAGCAGTCATGATGCTGGGGCTAGGGACTAAATGACACATATTTCTATTTTCTGACATACAAAGAACATACAATACTACTCATTTCATAGGGCACTGTTCAAATTATTGTCAGGTATGTGTGGCCAGCAGTCACAGCAAGAAGCTATATAGAGACTGCATTAGTAACCATCGGCTCTTTTTTTTTTATTAAGTTATTATTGATATACACTCTTATGAAGGTTTCACATGAAAAAACAATGAACTGTTGGCTCTTACTGGATCATATTTCCCTTTTTCACATGCCAGACAACACACAGGTGCAAAGCTGTGTTACTGTGTGCTTGGGAAACCTGTGCACAAAGTGAAGCAGAAAATAGAGACATGTGAGGAGAGCAATTTTCTCCTTAAAATATGTCTATAACAGCACTCGGGCATCATTAAATGGCTTTATGACATCCCATTTCCCTTTGCATCTAAGATTAAGGAAGAAGTATCATTCTAATTCTACTGAATTTCATACTTCTGAGAGCATGCAGGGCCCTACTTGTCTGACAATCTAATCTGTAAGGTGTTAACACTGCCAAAAAAGTCTTCCAAATTTCAGGACACATGAGCAAATTTAAAAAAAGTATGAATCCATACACCATGTAGACTCAAGTATTAATTGATGGCTGTCACTAGTGTGAAGACAGTGCAACACTTCATTCACTCAACAAATGTCTATTAAGTGTCTATTAGATGCCAGGTCCTATGCTGGATGGAAAAAAATCAAACAAAAAAGCAAAACAACCATTTACATCACTAAGGTATTATCATTACCATACTAATCCTCTGCTAAGAGCTGATATGTCCAACAGGTATGAAAAATGATACAGATCATTATTGTTTCCTTTACATTAGTTACAAAGTTGTAAACTCTCCTACTCACAGAAACCGTATATGATTTGGAGCAGTGCTTGGAGCATTCCAGTAGACTTTAATTTCTGTTTTTTTGGATGGATTTGTGTGACTCACAGCTGACCCCTGAAATAAAATGGAAAAGAACTATCATTCAGTCACTCAACAGCTCAGCATGGCTGAAACTATCATGTTGCAAAGTTAATTTATCATTGTATGACTTTGGCATTCTGGGAAAGATGATTTTATTTATAATAGGGACTCAGGTACTCAATAAATACATGTTGACTAGTTGACACCCAATAAACAGCTGGCTCTGTGAATAAATTAGAATTAGCAGAAATGTAAGAACTGAAGAGATGTATGAATACTGAGTGTATGAATGCTACATAAAGCCAACTCATTACTTCATTTAGAACACAAATTTATATTCCTTCCATTAATAGATACAAATAGAATGCAGAAGATTCATCAAAAGAAAAAATTCCTGCTCCAAATATGTAGCATTTATTTTAGTAATTCCTTTCTCATGAACAATCTTATTTCCCACTTTCATTCACCTGGAAAATTCCTACTCATTCTTTGAGACCTAGAATGGAGATCATCTCCTCCAAGTTCTCTCTCAATTCCCTCTAGCCTGTGTGTGACACCCCCACCCACTTTGTGTATGCTTCTAATCTGTCATCACATTGCTCTACCTATGTATCTGTCCTATATTTTATATTCTACCCATGTCATATATCATATGTACATATATTTTAATTATGTGTAAGGCTATGAGATCTTTAAAAAATAAGAGTAAATCTTGTCCAGCACCATATCCTTTGCACCAGGACTGTGCCTGGCATAGTAAATGTTTATTATATGAATGAATGAATGACAAAAATTAGACCTCTGTCCCAACCAAGAACTCTATCTTCAATATAAATATCCTTCAAAAACTCAGCACAATAGAAGTCAATATTTTATAAAATATCAAAAGCTACCTATTCCAGGATGTTGATGTATAGAAATACACTGCAAGTAGTAAGACTCGGGGGCAAGTTGGATCATTTTGAATCTACTTGCAGTACATGGATAGCACAATTGTTTATCTTGCAACCACCACCATATAGTGAAAAACCCCACGGAAACTGACAGAAATCAGTTTCAAACTAAACACAAACCTTTATATCTTCACAAGTCAGAAGCTGTGACACTTGACTGTCAATAAGTGTGAAGGAGCCAATAGGAGGGCCACTCAGATCCTCAGCATCACGTGCTTCTATGAGAAAGCCTTTAAATGGCAGCCCTGACAAAGTAACTTTGAGAAACAAAAAGATAGGTTAAGAGATAGGTTAACATCCCAAAAAGGAAACTAGAGGAGGTACATCACAGTCAGAATCAGGTGAATGTATACAAAACTACTCCAAGGGAGAAACAATAGAATTCATCCTACAAACAAAGAAGTTCCACACTGTGTTCCATGGAGCATTCACTTAGTAAGCTGTTAACAGCCACAGCCATTCCGTAATGGGGAAAGGTAGGTGACAGTCAGGGACTGGTTCATGGGATTATTAGTTTGAAAAATGTATGAAAGTAAATACTTGTTTCTTTACTGAAAACCCCTCAGACCTTTAACATTTGTGCAAAATTTCCAGAATCTTCTGCTTAGCCTTAGTTCATTTACATATCAATAGGTGTTTTCAGCCATAGGGCCTCCCATTCATCTCAGGCAAGGGGTGGAGAAAAAACAGCCATTCTCTCCTCCCCTCAGTTCCTGATAAGTAACTGGTCTGGCATCTGCCAGTCACCAAGGACCCACCAATGGAGTTACTCCCAGAAGGGGCATGCAGGAAGTAGAGGGCACACCATGGGGCACTGCATGAGCCATGGCCAGAGGGGATGAGTAGTGCAGAGCCTGACCAGCAAATTCAAGCAAGCTGTGAGCAATAAAAATGGTTTCTCCTAACCTACCCTTTCCCTTGACTTATTTCAGTTTTACCAGTTTCATAGGAAATTTGCCCTGGGCCAGGAAAACCCTTCCCCCTGGAGTTACACATCCTACTGCGTAGTATGAAACTCTAAGACGTATATTATATATGATACACAGAGTGTTCCAAGCTTATTTTCCATACACTCTTTTTTTGAAAGAGTATCTGTTCATATTTTGCATTTCTAGAGTTACTGAAAATAGTCTATAAAAATACTGTTACATATGCCCCTATAACAGCCTATATTTTGGCAGAAGAATCAGGAAACACAAGAGTTTACCCTATATCAAGAAGGATAATGGTTTATTATAGCCTAAACCAGATAAAATAAACTTTATTTTCCTCTTCTGTTGAGTTGATATATTAAATAATGACAAAAAACATACTTAAACATAAAAAAATATGTCGATTATTCTACCTGAATGAGTAGATATACTGCTTAAGTAATACAGTTGTCTATATAGCAGTTAAACATAACATGAGAAATAGAAAATTATACCTTACAAAAACAAGTGAACAGATTTAAGTGAAATTGTATAATCCAATAGTAATAAAGATTCAATATACAGTAGAAGAGTGAAACTCAGAATACAAATAATCCATCACAATACCTTTAATCTGATCTCCTGGTCTAAATGTCATCTGACTCACTGAAATGTTGTAAGCAGGATCAGAGAGCGAAGTATACCCATGTTGAGGAATCATTCCATCACAGGACTCTGTTACTTTTCCATTGGGATAATTAGCCACAGAACTAATGTGCAACAATAGTATGAAGGCATCAAAGGTAAATCCAGGAACTGCCATCTCAAAAAGAAGATTAAAAGCACATTATTTTCACAAGTAATTAAAATATAAAAGCTTTCATACCACAAGAGAGGAATTCTAGATAACTACTTGCTTTCAATAATCAGCTAGCCATATTCTCAAAAATATGTAATGAAAAAAAAGTGAGATCTGTGAAGTTTGACCTGGATTTGAATCTCAGCTCTACCAATTACCAATTATGAGACTTTAAGCGTATCACTTACGCCTCCACTTCCTTACCTGAAAAACAAGGAAACTAAGACCCACCTTTCAAGTTGTTTTAATAAAATGAAGACTGGGTAAAATTGTAACATTTCCAGAATATCTCACCTGGCTTTAATACATCTGCATATCAATAGGCGTTCAGAGGTGGAAAGAAGTATGGCTTTAGTGCATTTGCATCATTCCTCAGGGGTGGAGAGAAGTTCATCTCCCTATCAGTGGGCAATTACATGGGCAAGGAGGGCTTATCTGTACCTGAGAGGTGAGGGGAGTGCCGGTATTGCTTCTGCTGGAGTAGGAAAGAGAGACTGCTGGGGACTGCAGTTTGTGAGCAATAAAAGGATCTTTTATTTTATTTCTCCCTTTGACTGATTTCGGTTTTTAGAGGTATTTTGCCCCAGGATTTCCTCTCCCCAGACTTACAAAGACACACTCAAAATCTGACAAGGAAGACAATAAATGTTTGTTTTCATTAGCATGATTAGGAAAAAATGAACTAGTCCAAAATAAGGAAAAGGTTTTAATCCATCCTAGAAAGCTTAAAGAAAAAATAAATTTTCTTTTGGATTTAAATATGTCCTAAATAAATCTGATATGACTTCTCCCAATTTCCCATTAAACTAATCATGATGACAGAGTTGATCGTTTAATTTGTAACACTGAAAACTGAGGGTAACAATCAATTTTAAGAAACAATGTATCTATTACCAAAAGCCCAGATGCCTCTCAATTAAGAAACACAATTGTCAGCCTAAATAATTTTCTTCTTTCACCCAGTTTGTCTACCTCCTACCATCTACCTACTAGAAAACCAGCTACTTTGTGTCAGTCCCACCTTCTTCTACCCACCATCAACCACTTCACTTTGAGCATATATTTAGGACCTGAGAATCATAACATACAAGGTTAGAGGTAGATGGGCCAGGGATAGGCTACATTGCAGTAAATAAAATCAACACTGTGAACAAGATTGCTGATGGGAAGAGCCAATGAAACAGGTCATTCTCCATAGAAACAAAGTTTTATCATAGATCTCATCATAGATAAAAATAAAGCACCCTGTGGGTAAAATTGCAATATTTCCAGAATCTCTTGCCTGGCTTTAGTGCATGTACATATCAATTGGTGCTTTGCCACAGGACTCGCCCCACCCCCACCCCGGAGTTAAACACCCAATCACTAGAATAAATTATCCTTTTATAGTCATGTAAATTACACACCCCACATTGGGCCAGAGCTGAATGACAGGAATTCCTGGTAGACATGAGAAGTTGTGCTGGGGGCTATCCACTTTAGCCAGTCCTGCAGCTTACAACCATAACTACCAAGGAGATAGCATAGGATCCAACAGTACTGTACACCCTTATATTTTATCAAACATCAAAGTTAGAATTTTTCTCATTTAAGAATAAGCAAGAGAACAAATGAATCAGTCAAGAGCTTCTGAAAAAAAATCTATAGCATAAGAGAAGCACAAGATTTCTCCATAGACTTACAGGAAAAGTATAACTTGTTAGAGGCAGACCTGCTTTTAGGATCAGGGAAGATTTACTAAAAAAGATCAAGGTCAGAATTTTAACCATGTGACCTTGGCCAAGTCATCACGATGATTAAAATGCAGCACAGTGCCACCCACCTTAAGAATAGTACAGGGAAAGAATTCAGTGTAACAAATATGTTTTTGGCATTGACTTTCTGTCAGGTAAAAGTGGAAACATGGTTTGATTTTTCTTCTGTCTCTGCTATGCAGTAAGTAGAAAAATGACATCAATCCAGTCATATAATCTCTGTCTGGGTTTCTTCATTTGCAAAATACAGCAGATGAACTAAATAAACTCAGGGTCCCCTTCTCCTTAATATCATGATTTTAGGAAAGCAAAGTGGAGAAGCATATTGGTAATTATTAGATCAAGAAGTGTAAAAAGGGAAAGAGAAGGGACTAAGGCACCACCACTTGGCATTCATTAGGAAAAATTTAACAAACAAGGTCAGATAGAGAAGTAGACAATAGCAATTTGTCTTTGGTTTGATGCTGACATTTCAAGGTGACATTTACTTTCATTAAAATGGCTAATTATGGTTTTCCAGTTAATGATTTAAGGAATAGCCTTTTTACAAACTGATACATTAATTCATTAACCACAATCTATGCCAAAAGATTGTATAGTTATAAAAGGGAATAATGAAGGGGGGACCCTAGTAAACATAATGTTCTTCATGTAATTGTAGATTAATGATAAAAATTAAAAAAAAAAATTTTTAAGGGAATAAGGAGTTATCCATGGAGACATTTAAGTTAAAATTATGTAATATTGATAATGAGCTGTTACATTATTAAGTCATCCTTCAAGCACTGGAAAAACACCCACCAATTTTGTATGACTTTGAAGCTTTTAATATTCCCTTTCTACAACAGGTACAATATAGAGAATGAAACAAAAGATAGCTGTCTCGCTAAGGGTTTCAGCCCTGGGCAAGTTCACTCTGGATTCACTGAGACCAATAATGACAATGGAATGTTGGGAGTAAAAAGGGGCTTATACAAGCTTTATTCTCACTGCAGTAGGTACAGTGCTAGAATCCTGTCTGCCCCCGGCTAGGCCTCTGCCCCAGGCACTGCCTCCACTCCAGGCTCTCTCTCCACTCCTGGCCTCTGCTCTCCTCTCTCCTGCTCTCTTGCTCACTTCTCTAGGATCTGCTCTTAGCATCATGGTAACTTTTTTTATAGCAACACAGGCAAAAATGGCTTACCACCAATGGGTCTACAAATATGCACCTGTGCAGTAGGCTAAGTATCACCTCATTGCACGTGTGCATTGGGTAGATTAGATTAAGACCAAGCGAGGATCCTGGCCATGGAATTTCCATTTTCCCTACAATATCATAACTTGCACTTTGTCACCCCAGGACAAAAATAGACCTATTAGTTTGAAAGATTAAAAGGGATTCTCTAAATGAAATATTCCTAATCCTGATAAAATTTGTTTAGTTTTTTCTTGAATTTCCTTCCTTCCTTCCTCCCTCCCTCCCTCACTCCTTCCCTTCCTTCCTTCCTTCCTTCCTAAGGCACTTGGTAAAAAGGTATTATGATCATTTATGCCATGTTTTATACACAACTCACACAAAAATAAAACTTCAAAACAAATGTATTCTTTATTATTTAACTACAAATTTTTGTGCTTGGATGAATATGTCATTACTACTGTGGACCACAGAGGCAAGTGATATTAATCAGGATAATATATTTATTACAACAAAGTTAAATTCAGGAAAAATGAGAAGAATCCCATTGAAAAGTATTCAGATGTAAGAAAGTATTTAGAAGGAGTATGCATTGAGAATGTTTTAATAAATTGGTCATTAAATGTTTGTATTGCATGACTCCAAGAACATGTGAGAAAAAGAAAAAAATGGAGGAAAGTACATCTTTTATAACCATATCAGATTATTAAGCTAGCATATAATGAAGTCTGGTTATATTGCATTCAAGCTCTAGCTCTTGCTAGTCATTTATTTTAAATTAAGGCATCACAGGTCAAAAGGTAACATACACACACAAAAAAATGTGGGAAATCAGCCAGTAACACCCACACTACATTACCCAAAATATAAGTGTAAGCACACACTAAGACTCTTAACTGATGCAGAGGCATGAGAAAACAAGGTTTTCTTAATTGTGAAGAATGAGCCTAACGAAAAGCAAAAGTTTAACCAAAAGAATTTGTTTTAGAATACACAAGTAATTTGGAAAAGGATTTTTTTTTTGCTATATGTAGAGGTTTTTTTTTATAACACCCAAAGTAATAAATATGTTCAGATTATGAGCCAACAAACATGTCATTATTATTTCATTATTATTATGTAAGTAGAAACATTATTTACCTTTACCACAAGTAGTAAACATATTCTCAATTTTTTATTTTATGCTGATTACATCCTACTGAATTGTTGTACCAACAGGTCTTAACTTGTAGTGTGAAAAACATTACTTTGTGGTGTATATAGACAACTCAGTTTCAGTCTTGAATCAAATTCTAAATTAGCAGCATCAGGATTTCAGTAATAAGGGAGAGTTCTCAGCTACAGAAGAAACAAAGAAGCCAAGCAATAAGGAAGATTTGGGAACTAGGAAATGTCTTACTCTCTCTTACTCCATTTTTAAACCTAAAGAACAACCACAAATATGGCTAACAAATTATCATTTTCAGTGACCTTTTGTATGAGAAAAAAAGTTATAATTAGCCATAATATAAAACCATTGCAATACCTAGAGCCCTTGAATGCTCCTTTCAAAATTTCCATCAAGTACATTCTACACTGTTCAAGGTAAATAACTACTTCTTACTCAATATTGTTTTCATTTTATTTTATTACTAGAAATACAATTGCATTATTTTCTCTTACTCTTTTATAAGTATAAGGTATTTCAATTAATTTATTTGATAAACATGCTTTTGCTTCTAGGTTTTTTGCCGAGAGACAGAACCACCATTTTTATTTGTTTCTATTAGAAAGTGGACTGAAATTCCAAAGTGAATTAGAAATTAGTTGTGGTATATATCACATTTGTAATATTACCATTTCATCCCGAATCTGGGGCAAACCTGGTAGGCCTGTGACAGAAAACCTAGAGGGACTGGGGTTAGAGGTGGAAATAGGTGTTCACCTGTAGAGTGGCAGAGTTAAGCAGAAAGAGTCTTTAAAAATAGGTAGAATCATAAAAGGATAAGGAGATTGATAAAGTCACAGAACTTAAGACTAATGTAGACATGGAGAAAACAAAGTTCTATGACCAAAAGAAAGAAAAGAATCACAGTTCTACTATAGAAGAGGGAAGAAAGGGGAGTGTGGAGAAAAACAGAAAGAAGCAGTCATTTGGCAAGAACCTGGTAGATTCTACATCTAATGTAATCCTTACAACAAACAGGTATTATCTTCATTTTAGAGATGAAGAAACTGAGGCGAGGAATGCACAGTAAATTAAGTATACTTTTAGGATTAGAGCCTAAACCTAACTTCAGTTCCCATGTTCTGTCTTCACTCTACGTCATTACTCCTCCTTGAAGAAAGAATCTTCAACAAGGATCCAAATTTTACAGTGAACAATGTGACTGGGGGCATACTGGGACAAAGTTGAAATCTAAATTAGCCTACTTAATTTAGACTGTTCAGTCTTATTCTGAAAGTCTGAGAAGCAATGTAGAGATTTCTTTCATAGAAGCTCTTAAAAGAATGAATGCGAAAATAACTAGCTCAATGCCTAAAACACTAAGTTGTCAATAAATGTAATTGCCATTATTTATTATCACTATTAACTTACCATATCACCAGTATGTGCTAATTTCTTCTGAATACTTTTGTAGTTAGACAGCTAAGATTTTCATATATTTCTTTCATCTTCATTTAATTTCTTCAAGCCTTCTGGAATATCAGAAAATTTGCTTCCCTTCTCTCCAAGAATTTAACTATACCTCCATAGGAAACTTTCACATCAAGAATTAAATTGACTTTGATAGCTGAATCTCAAATTATAGGGAAATTGAAAAATAGGTCAAGTATTTCCACTTCTTTAGATAAAAATGTTTCAGATTCCATTTCACAGCATGAAGGAAGAAGAGAAAAAATTATTTTTTTTTTTATTAACAGTAATGACATTTTCGGAAGGGTTCTAAAAACAAAGAACATTTAAAAATGACACACTGGATATCAATCTGAGATTTGTCTGGTCTGACAGATGGCTGAAAATTCTGAAAAAGAGGTTTAGAGTTTAAGTGAAAGCAAGAAAAGTGGAGTAATAGGGGAAAACTACTAAAGAAAAAAGTAATCGGGAACCCTATAATCTAATCCTAATTCCCCTAATCAAAGCATCATCAGCAAGTAATTTTTCCATCTTCTGGAAAAATATTTAGAAGCAAACATCCTATTACATGTCATGGAGCTTTCCTGTGGATCATTCCACATGGCCCTCACAAAAATCCTGTCCGCAGTCCTGTGCTAAGTGAAATTGCCTTTTCTCTAAAGAAACAAAACTTAAAGATGAAACAGAAGCAAGTACTATTAATCTATCATTTAAATGATACAGGCAAACCTAATTTTATTGCACTTTGCTTTATCATGCTTTGCATATATGGAGTTATTTACAAATCGAAGGTTCAGGACACCCCAGCATCAAGCAATTCTGCTGGTGCTGTTTTTTTCAATGACATTTGCTTACTTACTGTCCCCAAGTCACATTTTGGTAAATTCTCACAATATTTCAAACGATTTCATCATTACTGCATTTGTTATGGTGATCTACGATTGGTGCTTTTGAATCACTAAAAGCTCAGATGATGGTTAGCATTTTTTTAGCAATTAAGGTCTTTTTTAACTAAGATATACACATTTTTTATTTGGACATAATGCTATTTCATACTTTACAGACTATAGTATAAACAAAACTTTTAATGCACTGGAAAATCAAAAAATTACTTTGACTCACTTTATTGAGACATTCACTTATTGTGGTGTCTGGAACCAAGCCTACTATATCTCCAAGGTTTGCCTGTACTATTAATTGAATGCCTGCTCTATTCCAGACATCACAATAAGTGCTTTACATGTATGAACTCTGATCCTTGGAGGAAACATACCAAGGTTTTTTTATTGTATGAAAACTGAAGCTCACAAAGGTTGTAAAAAACTACTGCCATCATACACCATGACCAAGTGGGATTCAGCCCAGGGATGCAAGGATGGTACAACATTCAAAAATCCATCAACATCATCCACCACATCAACAAAAAGAAGGACAAAAACCACATGATCATTTCCATAGATGCTGAAAAAGCGTTCAACAAAATTCAACATCCATTCATGATAAAAACTCTCAACAAAATGGGCATAGAGGGCAAGTACCTCAACGTAATAAAGGCCATATATGATAAA